GCCCATGGGCAGCAGGCTGTGCGCCAAGTTCGGGGACTGTCCAGCACCACGTCCTGCTCCCCACGTAGGGCACCGAGCCCATGAGCCCTGCCGCTCCCTAGACACTGGGGCCTCATGCGCTCTGGCCCATCAGTTCCGGCCTGAGCCAGTCCCTTTATTGCTGATTTAAATGATAGCCCCTGTTTTTTAGTTTTCATATAATTCAGTCTCTCAGGTGTTAGTATCAATGTATTCTATTTTGTTTTTCCTTGAAGCTCAAGTGTTTGAATGGACGCTTCTGGGTGACGCAGGAGGCATGCAGCATGAGGGGGTGACGGGGACGTTTTCCCTGGGTCGCATGTGCTGGTGCCACGGCCACGTGCCCACTGGCAGACTCAGTGCAGAGCTGCCGCAGCCGGAGGCAGGACCCCCAGCCAGTGCACACTCCTTCCTGCCCTGCCCGTGTCCTCTCGGACAAGCAGCCAATACCCCAGACGAGCCGCCCTGCGCAGCACTGGGCTCTGCCCATCTGGACGTAGCCTGTTGCATTAAGTGTGGACACCCCACTAACTGTAGCCAGGCGGCCTGGCGTGGGAACCAAGGACAGGCTGAGGCTGCAAGTCCTTCTAGATTTGGGGTCAAGGGCAAGAGTGCTCCCTGAGAGCCATGGGCAGGTGACCATTTCAGGACTCGTAGAGACAGCAACACCGGCCAGACAGGTCGTGTGAGGGAGGAGAACGAGCCCCGAGGACTCCCGGTTTCTCAGAGGCCGAGCCGAGCCTGCCATTGGCCTCTTTGACGTTGCTCCCCTGTTTTCTTAACAGAGCCAGTGTGAGTTCATTTTGTAAGTAGAGCACTGGGAAATTACCCAGTGACGTCTGATGGTTTTTACCCAGATCTAGGCCGACACCAGATTTTTGACAGCATCACCTGTTATCCTAAAACACAGAGCTCTCACAGTGGGGAGAGGAGCGGAATCGGACCGTTGCTGGAGCCGCGTCTGTCAGCCCCGTGCTCGTCAAGGTTTCGGGCTTTTTCGTCAGGTCCCTTCTCAGGGAGCATCTGGCACTTGCCTGGGCCCCCCTTTTCCCCTTCTTAGAAAGTCGTTCACGTACAGGAAGGTACATAGTCACAGTGGTTGATTCTAGTTCCTTCCTCTTCGGGAGGAAAACATTCTACCTCTACTTTCACCCTGGATGTGTGAGTTTTGGATGACTGATAGGTTTTTTAAGAGGAAATTGGAAAAACAGCCTTCCTTCTGGAGATTGGACAGATCTTGAAAAATTAATTAGAGCCAATCTGAAGCACGTGCTAACTGTGTTGGTGCCCGGCTGTGACTGCCCCGCTCTCCTTCAGCTCCGCAGCAGCCCAGGGCCCCGTCCTTTGGGTGGGGGGCTGTTCAGGGCCCATCGGCCCCCGGCAGCCCCGCAGCAGCCCCGCAGCAGCCCCACAGCAGCCCCGCAGCAGCCCCGCAGCAGCGGGTCTGAGCCCAAGCAGACCTGCCTCTGCGTCTGGTCCCTGAACACGACAAGCAGAGCGTCAGTCTGTTCGAGCCGAGGCAGGAATATCGGGCATTTTTAGATTTTAATTACTTTTTGGCTCTTTGACTAGAGAAACAGTTACGTCCAGGTTTAAGAAAACATGGTCTTAAAGAGCCAGCACTAACTTTGTCAGAGTACCTCTCTGGTATGTTTAAAATGTTGACACATGACAGCAGTTTAATGGACGTGCTGTGAAAGACTGTTTCTGTTTACGTTCGGTTACGCGGTTGTTCTCACCTGTTGTCAGCGTTGGCGTTGCAGAGCACCCCGAAAGCTGCAGAGCCAGCCCAGGGGCACGGTTCTCCCCTGAGCACCGGTGCCCTGCCCCTGTGCACACCGGCTGCACGTGTCAGAGAAACCTGAGTGGAAACAGGTTTAATCATCGTGGCCGTGGTATGTGGCCTTAAAACAGAGCAAAATGAAAGGAGGTCAGTCCCTTGTTTTGGGAAATAAGACGGTACCTTCCACTGGGGACGCTGGGACTGGGAGAGGAGCGGGCGGGTCGGGAATGGAAGCAGGGCTCTGTCTCGGTTTGTACAGGATTCTTTCTATGAAGACTGGAGTAGAATCTCTGGTTCACGGTGTCGCATTGAAACCGCATCATAGAATCTAACTGCCCTTTACCCCTCAGCACCTACCAACTAAGCAAAACTAGCCAAGGATATGATTTTTTTAAAAACTCAGCATGAACCGCTAAGGACCGGGGTGCAACGTAAAGCAGTACATCGACAACCTGTGTCCAGCCTGGAAGCAGACAGCTCCGGACCGGAGCGGAGCAGTCCCTCACCCCCGCCTTGGCACCCTCCCACGGCTCTGCTGCTGACATGGCCCAGTGCAGACGAGGCGCCCGGACCTCCAGATCTGCAGGGAGCAGACTCACACGTCCTTGTCTTGTTGCCCTTCTGACCCAGAATGTCGGCCGTGGGGGCCTGGGAGGGACGACAGGGCGGAGATGAGGTCAGGGCATGTTGTGGGGGGGAGAGGGATGCAGAGCCGGTGTGTTTCCGTGGCAACAGGGTGTCAGGGTGGAGGAGAGCCAGGTATTCTAAGAACGCCCCACCCAGCCGACCTCTGCACCCACAGAGGGCGGAGCTGCGGAGCCACACCCCGGTCAGCCCTCAGGTGGGGGCGGGGAGGGTCCCAGCTTTAGTCACGTGGAAGAGAGGTAGGCACCTCTCCCAGCTCTGATAGAGGGTGTAAGCAAGATGCCGGGCACGCGGACAAAGGAAAAGGAAAAGCTGTGTCCCAGGACCTAAGCTAATAATGACACAAACCCTATTGCTCAGTGAAAATCGTCGTCCATGCCAGGGAACCGGAAGAAAAGCTCTCAGTTGCTCCACGCTGAAGAGCAACACAGTAAGATTGTTCTGGACGGGAGGACCAGGGACCTGGAAGTCAGGGGACCATGGGACATGTTGGGGGACGAGCCAAGGCCCGGGCCAACAGCTCTGTTGAAGGTCCTCTCGTGACCGGCAGTGTCGGGAGATTCGCAGTCACACGGGTGGGGGTGGGAGACCAGAGCAGCTGTGGAGGCTGGAAGAGACGCAGGACGGAGCTCCCATTCCCGAGGGCGGACGCCCCATCCTTGGGTTGGCCGACTGTGCCCTCCTGGAGGGGAGGGTCGCATCCCTGACCTGGCCCAGCGGGAGCCCTGCTATGGGAAGCCCAAGTGGCTCGTAAGGCTGGGGGAAGTGTTCCAGCTCACCCACCCAGCCCATGGGTCCCGGACTCAAAGCAGATGCAGGGTGCTCGGCGGAGGGGCGGAGGGGCGGTCGGAACCTCCTGGAATGCTCACGGCCACGGTGTGAATGCGAGGGCGGCTGGACTCGTTTACTGTGACCTCCCGCCGTGGACTCGTAGTGAGCATTTAACGGAGTGGAGAGCGGGCAGGCGGTGCACGGACAGAGGAGCATCGTCCTGGGAGAGCCCGTCCATGAAGCCCTTTGTCAGAGCCCCTCTGGGTCTGGAGCCCGTTTTGCTTCCCAAGCTCCACGTGATGCAGGCGCAGGGTTTCAGTCTGGGCCACGTGGGGACGGCCGGTGCTGAAAGGGGAGAAGCAGCGTCCGAACTGGTAAACCGGGGACGTGGCTGTGAGCGTGCGAGGGGAGGAACTGGGACGTGAGCGGTGGTGCCCTCAGCGCCCAGCTGGCACACAGCCTGTGTGGTCTTGGTGTCCGGGAAGGACCAGGCTGCTGTGGGCCTTCGGACACTCGGACTCCACCCGCGCTGCCCTGCCCCGAGGGGCAGAGGGAGACTCAGTGGCTGAGCTTCTCCACCAGAACAGGACAGGGCCAGGCGACGCTGCGGCGGGCTGGCCCTGCGCCCGGCAGGGTTGATCGTCGGGGAGCTCGGAGCAGCCACTGGTCCCGCCACCATTTAAATAACAGAGACAGAGGTCCAGGGACCCCGAGGACAGTGGACAGGGCCACCAGCCTGCCCTGCGGAGGATGGGGTCCCTGCCCTCATGTCAAGGACTCCCATTAATGTGAGGTGACTCCTTCCCAGTTAGAGCAGCACCATGCTCATCTCAGAGAGCTGTCATGAGTCACAGTGTGGCCTGTTGATGCCCTGTGACGAGCGGGGTGAGCGCTGGCCGGTTGGCCCCCACACCCGGAGTGTGGCTGCTCCTTGACCTGGCTGCTCGTTGACCTGGCAGTTTGACATCTGAGACTCTTGTCTCTAGAAACACTCTGCAGTCGGCAAGTATCTGGAGGGGATGCACACACACACGTGTGTCTCTGTGACTTATTTCAATTAGAGAAAGGCTCTGGCATGAACAGTGCCCGTGACCAAGTGTGCAACGACAGGCTTAACAGAAGCTTAGTAATTCACGGATCCTGCATGGTCCCCCTTCTGTGAGAAAAGTGGTCTCTTTGTGTCTTAGCACAGGGGAAAATACACACTTTAAAGATACACAGGAAGTCAAAAGGATACACATACTTAGTGCGTTCCAGAGTGTGAAATTGAGGTCAAGAGATAGCACTGTGCTCCCTGGCCAGCCCGTGGGACATGAAGGAAACTGGGTGTGGTCAGATGCACAGGCGCTCAGGCCAGGGCCGTGGGTGGCCCACCAGGACACGTCCCTCCCAGGTGATGAGGAGCCTCCAGAGACACGCAGCCTGCGGGCCTCTGCTGCCCCCACGGGCACGTTGCTCTGCCTGCCGAGGAAACGCCCCCGCTCTCCGCCTCCAACCGGACCCTTGGGGACCTGGAGCGAGAGTCTCCCAGGCCACTTTTCTGCACGTCAGTCTGGGAATGTGTTCGTGGTGCAGGGAGCTCTGTGTCCTCGGGGTCTGGCCACGGCAAGGCCTGCAGACAAGATGGAAATGTGTACATTCCCTAGGCTGACCGTTGTGAAACTGTTGTTGTTACAGCGTTTTAAAACACTACACGTTTCAATAATAATTTTAAAAATAAAACACAAAGCCTATATGAATGGGGTACAAATCCATGCATGTCTAATTTTTCCTTCTTTCACAGAGTTACTGGGGGCGAACTGTTTGAAGACATCGTGGCAAGAGAATACTACAGTGAGGCCGACGCCAGGTGCGTGCTGGGCCCCAGCGATGCCTGCCCCACTGTGCACAGCCTCGCGGCCCTGCCTGCTGCCACGGGCACACAGCACCAGCTGTGTCTTACTTTGTTAAAGCCTAACTAGAATGACTTCTACTAAACATAAACTCTTTTAGCAAATGTGAGAGATCCAAAGTTGGCATCCTCTGGTCTCTAGGTCCTGGGCAGCCCACTATGCCCCTAGTCACTTTCATGCAAAATTAAATGAAAGGAGATTAAATAGGCTCTTTAATTTCCATGTCAATTAATCAGAAGTAAATACAATTACAAGTTCGGTTCCTGGGTCGCAGCCAGCACATTCCCGGTGTCCGGTGGCTGCGACTGGGAGCAGGTCCCCGGCTCCTGGGCTCCCACAGAGACAGGCGACAGGAGCCCCTCAGAGCATCGTGAGCTGGAAGTGTCTGTACAACCTTGGGACGCTCATTTGATTGGTACGAAGTTAAGAATGGCCAACATTTGGTCTCATGTGAAAGCTCCGAGGCTGCAGAAGGGCAATGTTTGGAGTGAGCTGTCACCTGTGCGCAGGGAGTGCTGAGCCTGGATGGCGTGGGTTCTCCTCAGCACCCTCCTGCAAACTGCATAGTTCACACTTACTCTGAAAATGGGCCGGGAGCCAGGGCTCGCTGTTAGCGATGAGAACAGAACCCTGGGAGAGTCTGGTGCTCTCAGCGATTCCTCGGGCCGCTCCAGCCCACCTGCTGGCCCTGCCCAGAGTGGCGCCCATGCCTGCACAGCTCCCTCTGAGTCTCCAGTCCGTATCCTGCTTCAGTGCGTTGCTGTAGCATCCTGTGCATCTCCTCTGCGCGACTATGCTCTGGAGTCTTCCATGGAATTTTACTGCCAAAGTCAAGTAGAAAGCTCAGTGTCACTCATGCTCTGATGAGTGAATCATCACTGGCTCATTTCCCCCAGGTCCTCCCTGGGGCCTCTGAAGGGGCTTCAGAGCAGCCCAGGGAGGAACGCCGCACACTCGTGAGAGAGGGACTGTCTCCACCGAGACCGTGCACGGGCTGGGACTGGGACTGTTTCCCTGTCGAGGGGCCCACAGACAACAGGGGGTCCCGGGGGGCTTCCCGGAAGCTTGGCAGTTTACAGCAGGGCATTTTTAGAGTCAGTTCCACACAAAGTGAAGGAGAAAACATTCTCTTCCCAACCACAAGTATAAAGAGCATGTTCTGCCAATACCTTGCCAAAGTCTGTTCTTGTCCTGGGCCCCTCAAGAAGCTAAGAATTCAGTCCTTTCTCACTAGTAAAACGTGGTGACAGTCATTTAGCAAGAACTGTTTTTTACTTCTTCATTTTCTGTTATTCATTAGGCTAAGTGACCTGTGCCTGTGGTTGGAGAAGAGGAAGTGAAATCCCTCAGAAATAGGACAAAGCGAATGTTACTATAGCGGGAAGAGTGTCACACAACTCAGATAACTGCCAGCTCTCCAGTGAGCTGTGCAGTAGGAGCAGCAAGTGCGAGGCTCCCGTGTGCGTCTCAGCAGACTCCCGTGAGGGTCTCTGTCTGGGTCAGTTTTTGACATCCGCACTGTAGAAAATCAGAGGTGATTACTCTTTTCACTCGAGAGTTCATGTTGGAGTCCTGTTGTTCTGCACACTCAGTGGGGGAGCATGTCCGCACCGAACTGTGCACTGCACCTGGGACACAGTTGTGCGCACCCGTGTTTGAGCACACAGGTCCCAGGCACACTGCACAGTGGACACGCCTCACGCAGTCATGGCAGGGACCATAGAGCTGCCAGTCAGTGGTCTCCCTCCAGGTTAGTTAGCGGTTGGTTTGACATCAGGGGATCTGTACCAAGAACAGCATAAATTGTGCATTTGACAGGTGGAGGACCCACATGGAAATGTGCTCCAGGGACTCAAATTTGTATTTGTTTCCATCCATTCCCAGCCCTTCCCCAGAGTCTAGCCTGACTGCGGAGGGTCGGTTCACACCGTGGGCTGACTTTGGCTTCTCCTTATTACTGCAGACTCATTACTTCTTCTACTAACACAGTCCACACGAGGCAGCATTCTCAACTCAGCGGGTAGCCATGCCCCTGCGTCCGACCCTCCTTTCTCCTGCCACTTCGTCCTCTTGTTTTCCACACCTGTGCTTATGTGCGAGCTCAGGTTGGGAACAGTTCAGGTGTGTCTAAGACATACCCACATGTTTTCTGTCTCCGGAGAGTTTTCCCAGAGCACGATGGGGACAGGAATCCGGACCTGGGTCCCGCTGTGGTGGGGTTACAGTCGCAGTGGACAAACGCAGCTCAGCTCGCTTCGTGTGGACACACCCTTGTTGTTAGCAGCAGAGTTCGCTGCATTCCGCCTACTTAACTGCAGTGCCAAACCAAATAATGGAACGTATGTGATTTTTGTCTTTGTTTGATGCGTGGTTCAGTGCCTCACAACACTGTCCCTTCCTCCTGCCCTGTGTCTTTGCAGTCATTGCATACAGCAGATTCTAGAAAGCGTGAACCATTGTCACCTGAATGGCATTGTGCACAGGGATCTGAAGGTCAGTACTGGAGTCTGCACCTCGGAAGCAGAGGGCTGGGGTGTGTTTTGGGGAAGGGCAGAGGGCGGGCACTGAGAGGGTCCCTTGCTGCTCCCAACCTCCGCTGCACTGGCTGCTGCTGATGTGACGATGCACGAGGCCTCTTCAGCTGCTTGTCTGCAGGCCACACATACATCACGGCAACGGGGGGGCGGGGTGCTGGACACCTGTTCCGTGTCCAGGTGGTGAATGTGAACCAAGAGGTGGTTTGGGGGCAGGTTTTCCCGAATGTCCCACATTTGCCTGGAGACCTTGCCCGTGATGAGTGTCACCTGCAGACTGAAGTGCACTTCTGTCCTGGGACCGCGGTGGCCGAGGCAGAAAAGCTGGCTGCACATTGCTCCTGAGTCCGCCAAGCCCTCAGGCAGGGAGTTGCCAGGCCCGGCAGCAGAGCAGCCAGGCTAGTGATGTCTCCGCTCTAACCTTAACCGAGCCCAACTGCTCAGGTGGTGGCTTCGAAGGGACACTTAGAAAACAATGGGAGAGAATGGGCAACCGCTTTCTGGGGGCAGGGGGTGGAGCACAACAGCTCTAGGATTATATTTGTGTCCTAATTTATTTCCCGAGAGGACTTGGGAGAGAGCCCCAGGATCCTATGAAGGCTCTTTAAGGTGGCTTTTTTAGGACAAGCGGACCACCAGTCAGGCTCACGGCTGGCAGGACCCTGCCTGTTCTGAGGCAGCGGTCACTCTGCAGGAGCAATGTGTCCCTTCTGGCGGGCGTCCCAGCACCGCCAGCTGTCTGCGGTGGCGGGCACCTGGTCTCCGTGCGGCTCGGGACTAACGATGCCCCTGGTGTTTGCATGCAGTCATTGCACTCAGCAGATCCTGGAGGCCGCCCTGCATTGCCCGCAGGTGGGCGTGGTCCACCGGGACCTGCAGGTGAGTGCTGCCCACACACTGGTCGGTGCAGTTGTGTCCCAGAAGCAGGTGCTCTGCGAGCCGTGTACTCTCTCGCTCTACTCAGGGCGAAGCACAGTCCCTCTCCCGCCGGGACCTCTGTCCCGTGTCCTTCAGGGAGGAACACTTCCCTAAGCCAGAGTAGGGACAGCCTCTGATGGGGCTTTGGGTGGCCCCGATGTCCTCCTCATTCTGAACTTGTCCTGTGGACACTGGTCAGACACACTGTCTCACAGCCTGTGCTCTACACCCAACGCGATGTCAGTAGTCACCCATGTCTTGAGGCGAGAGGAAATGCAGCTACGAGGTCGATTCCGGCCCGTGACCTTGGGTGCTGGAGAGCCCTGCTGGGCCCTGGGGTCTCCGGCCCAGGAGCTCTGAGAACTCGGAGGCTTCCTGGTCCATTGTTCACTGACCTTCCTCGGGACTGAGACCCGCGTGCCTTTTGCATCAGATGAAGAAAAGGAAAATAGAACACTTTGCTCAGCTTCTCTAATGAGCAGTGTTGGGGTCGTTTGGAAAGCAAGTAGGGAAGACGTCTCGGCGTTCTAGTCTCACACCTGGGATTCCAGAGGAGAAGGGGAGGCCTGGAAGCGAGTGAGAGGAACCGACGGCACGAGCCGGTGCGAGCACGGGAGCCGTGGGCCCAGCCGTGACTCTTCGTTCGAAGGCTCGGCTCTCCCAGGCGTGTGCACCGCACTGGCAGAGGTTCCAGGGTCCAGCTGTGTGTGTGCAGTGGGACCTCAGCTGGCTTCTCGTGTGCAGAGCCCTCTAGTCGTAAGGGACTCTGGATACGTCACTGCCATTCATTTCGTATGTCCAAGAAGAGTTGTCTCCAAGATCCAAAGTGAGCCACTTGGAGATGCTATTTGTAAGCAAAACCTTGCCTGAGTTTTCCGGAATCTTCCTTTGTGTTTAATTTGAATCTGAGAGCATCAAATGTCAAAGCAGAGGTGTGGTTGGTGATGTTTTCCTTTGGACAGCCGAAATAGGCCTGTGCTCATTGCTGACACCTACCAAATTTACCCACAGGAATAAAGGAAAAATGTGTTCCTTTGAAAACTCATTTTTTTTGGTGACCACTTCAAAAATTACTTGCCAGCCAAGTACAGTCAGAGCCCCTTTCTGCTACTTCTCAGAACTCATGGAGCCAGTTCTTTTTGCAAGTGAGTGTGTATGGACACACAAATTTTTGTGCTGTTTACCAGGTGCTCTGTTAATGGATTTATTGTTGGAAATATTTTCCTCCATGTCATGTAATTACTAGTACACTCAAAGCTGATATGGGGAGAGTGGGCACTCTGCAGTGACTCTCAGGTCACGGCTTCTGGGCCGTGACGTGGACGTGTGTCAGCGTCCAGCTCAGTGGAGCCTACACTGGCCGGGGCTCTGATCTGAGGTGGCAGCGGGCCCAGCAGGGGAGCTGTGAGGAAGAAGATATTTTCTGACACATGAGCTAAAGTTGCTAATTAAAAACTCAGGCAGGGGACCTCAGGGAGGCTGGCCACCTGGAGACAGGTTGCAGCGTCACCGGGCACATTGCTTTTTGGAGAGACGCATTTCTGCTCCTCTCTCCTGTGACATCAGGGAGGACAGAAGTGGACTTCCAGGGAGCACGTCCTCACTTCCACACCCGCTCTGGTCTCTGTCTGATGGCTGGTCTGAGTAGACTCCAGCTCAGAGTAGTTCTGCATGCTTGTTTCGGAAGCCTGCTGAGCGAGAACGCAGAGCACGCTAAGGGCACGGGACACATGGCCTGTTCCGCATCTCTTATACCCTCCAGGTGTGCTGTACCCGGTAACTGTGCTGCTGGTAATAGCATTTTACCAACACCTGAAAAGGGAAAAATTGATGCCTGAAATTTCTTACTAGCAGGCTCCAAAAATACTGCTCGTAGTATTCTTGGGCCATATATTTTTGTTTCCATACCCTGATTCCCATGCTAATTCAGGGACAACACAGATGTCTGAGCACAGTTTAATTACTGGTGAAAACCCCGGGACGTGACAATCTCCCTTGATATCAAGGCACCTGTGAGCTCTGTGGGTGAGACCCTCCCAGCACAGTGGCTGCAAAGTGTGGCGTTTGACTTTGCGACCCGACTGGAGAGACTGGAGACTGGCCACCGCCCCCCGAGTTCGTGAGCAGACACTTTCCATCAAGGGAAGAATAAAAGCATGTTTATAGCATGAAAGGTAACACAGTAAGGTAGATTGCTATGTACACCACTTAAAATTGGATAAAGAAGATGAGTATGCACCGTCTGATAACGCGATAGCCTGGAGATCACCCGTGGGGGCTGGATTAACCCTGGGCGCCCGCCCCGTCGGAGAGCTGTCTGGACTAGAGATGAGGGTGAGCTCCGCAGGCGGTGGGAGCAGGAGGCGCAGGTGCGCACGGGGGGAGCGGGTGCTGGGGATGAGGGCGAAGGGCCCACGGCCCTGCACACCAGGCAGGGTCTCACCCACGAGCAGACACGGGTCGGGCCAACTGCTGGAGACCCTCACGGTGCTGGCTCTTGCCCTGCGACATAATTAGGGTCCTGGAATTTGGGACTGCGCCCTCTTCTTCGGAGGGGTTGGGATCAAGGCAGGACCTCAGTCACAAAACCAGTAATGCCCTTCCCTTAGCCAACAGCCGCCATGTCCCTGTGCCAGCTTCCCTGAGGAATGCTCTCGACCCCTCCCTGTGCAGGGCACTCAGGTGGCCCTGTGTTGTCCAGGGAGGTTGCAGTGCCCTTGACGGACAGGACCTGTTCCTGCCACTCAGCTATGCTGTAGGTGTGCGCCCACGTGGTTTGGTTCCAGAGTCTCTGCTAACTTCTCAGCTCAGTGAATTGAAACTTTCATAGAGACCAAGGAATAGGTCAACAGTGATGGGAAATAATTTTGCCAGCAATATTAAGAACTATGTGGGTAATGGTTCTGTTTAGTTAACCAAAAGATTTGTTTTATCCCACCCATAGATCTTCCAGAGCTGGGAATAAGAGAATAAGGTCACGTCCAGCTGTCATGTGGAGTGCGGGAGGAACATAGTTTGGGAATAGGCTGTTGTGTAAAGTTCAAGTGCCCTGTGTAGGGACCAACAAGGCATTGGCCACAGCCTCTGAAAAGTGAGGCTCATAACGGAAGGCACTGGGCCCCTAACGCAGGCCCCGTGAGGCTAGACAGGGTTTGGGGTGCTGACAGACAGACTGCCCATGAGCCACTGGGACTGCTGCTGGTCATCGTGAGCCGTGACGGGACTGTCGACTGTGAAAAGAGCAAGCGCTTGCAAGCCATTCCTGCCCTCGCGGAGCCCCGTCTGAGCCTCGGGCGTGGGTCCCAGTGCCGATCAAAAGCAGAGCTCCGCGCGTGGGCCTACGGACCAGGGACCGAAGTCACTTACAACTGTGCGGAAGGGGAGCTGCTGTTCTCTGGCCAAAAAGAGGGCCATACCCCAAACAAGCACTGCAACTAAAAAGATATTCGGTCAAAGGCTGCAGTGACAAGTGACAATCATGATGTCACAAGAAATAAAGGAATGTGGACTCAGACATGTTCTCGTTTGAGAGCCTGGGGAACAGTTCCTGTGAACAGCTGACAGAAGTTACTCCTTAGACTGAGAGAGAGAAACTACTTACTCAGCTCCAAGAGTCTGTGCGTCAGGAACGAAGCGGGGACCCGCGCCCGGCCTGCACCCTCACTCTGGGCCTTCACACTGCCGCCCGGGAAGAGCAGAGCTTCTGAGCCCGCTCCGCGGGTTCGTGCCGAAGCGAGGAGCAGCGGCAAGGAGGGTGCGGCAGGCACCCTTTGTGAGGCCTCGGACACCAGTGAGCCGAGAGGTTTTTCTGCCTCGGCTTTTTTTGGAATATGAGACAAATTTTGTTTCTGTCCACTCAGAATTTGAACTCGCCCCCTCACCACTGACCTTTGGTAGTACAGTATATGTTTGATGTGGAGGCTGTATGAATTGTAGGACATGATAATAGAGTTAATCAAGCTGATACATTCCAAAACATATGTATAAATCAAATTTTGTGTAATAGTTCTGATGTTCCATTGAAGCTAGCCATTAGTTAGCACTCTCGTGACGAAACATTTTATAAGCAGGGTGTCAAACTCATTTGCACCAGGGGCCACCTCAGCCTTGCAGTTGCCCTCCGAGGGCCAAACGTAATGTTAGGACTGTATAAACGTAACTACCCTTAACAGTTAAGTGAGAGCTCGGCACTGCCGCTGGGTAGAAGCAAGGGGCCGAGGGCCTTGTGTTTGCCACCTGTGTGATACAAAGCAACTCTCAACAAAGCCAGTCATCCTGATTTTCCAGGTCGCGTTCTACAGTTCTGTATTTTAGGTTTTCCTAAAAGATGTACATAAACATGAAGCCGTTTCAGGGCTGCTAACTTTTTAACTTATAAAATGACCTCGAAATTAATTGCCTTGCCTCTTCCTGCACATAACTGTCACAGAATAGTCTTCGGGAGTGTCAGGGTCGACCCCACTGCCGACAAGTCTGTGACCTCCTGCGTGGCTCACGGGCATGTGGGGGGCCCGAGGGCCTGTCTCGGGGCGAATGTTCACCCCTCAAGGGCCTGCCCGGTACATCCTGGGGCGGCCACCTCAGCACAGCTGGAGGGGACCCGCTGTTTCAGGGCATGAAGCGCACGGCACTGCCCAGAGTGTTTCGACTGAGCGATAAGAAGGAAGCCGTGTAATTTTCAAACGTTAGTTCGTGGTGACACTGGCATTTGCTCAGCAGACTTCGGTGCCACTCGACCTAAGAGACCTAATAAAATGGCCGCGCTTTCGAGAGCAATTGCACGTCTTCCCCGAGATGAGTCTGCTGGTGACGAGTCGTCACGGCGTGCGTCACGCAGGTCTCCGACACCTCCACGCCTGCAAACCATGGTGACAGTGGGACGGGCTTCCTCCCAGCCGCGTGTCCCATAAGTTAATAGCTGGAGACTGTTGATCACATTAGAAACGTTTTAGTTCTAGGAATAAAATGTCAAATAATAGCATGCCACGGTTTGATGCTCTGTAGATAGATGACCAGAGTTCCAAGCAAGCTGGAATGTTAGGTTTTGCTAAGTTATTTCAATGTGAAGATCGTTCATAGTCTTGAGACATCTTCGTCCCAACGTCCAGACTAAGTTATCCCAGTTTGGTGTCGCATGCAAAGTCTGCCCACCCCTAAGGCCTTGTTGCCGAGTTTGCCTCACAGCCGCCAGCTGTCCTGCTGGCGCTGCGTCTGACGGCGGTGATGCCCGACTGACATCTCCTCCTACAGCCTCAGCCTGGTTCCTTCACAGTGTGGTTATGAGTCGCTCACTAATTTGCATGACTCACCTAACTAATCAATTAATACAAGGTCAGAACAACCAACAGAATTGACTACTTCAGTAAAAAAAGTACCCAATTTTATGAAAAAATATGAAATTAGCTGTTTGTCAGTATGTAAACAGAACCAGTTTGACTGACTGAAGTTTTAGACTTTCAGACAGTTGTTTTGGCTTTTGTGTGGTCCACTGTTCCCCACCTTTTTTCAGTCAGTCTGAGACACACCTCGAAATTCGCCAGGTCTCATCCCAAGGAGAGGAAAGTGTGAGCTGCTCTCTCAGGTGTGTCTGTCGCAGCCCATCTTTGCAGACACCAGGAGGGAGTAGATGTCACTGAGCTCATGGACTGGCTGCCCTTCCCAACCACCCGCAGGGCACTCAGCCCCGTGCAAGGCTCACGCCTGGTGCCTGCCTTCCAAGTGCCCATGTGTCTTGGGCTCTGGTTGGGAAGCACTGGGGCAAAAGGAGCCTTATTTCCACTAGAGTTACTAGTCCCAAGCAGTGGTGAAGGCCAGGAAGTAAAACGCTTCTTCCCTGTAGTATTCCAAAGTGTGAAGATGGCTGTCTGAGTAATGCTTAGAATCACACTCTGAAGACATGTAAATTGTGGTGCAGAAAGCTGGCCTATAAAGGGAAAAAAGCTGACGGTAACATTTGGCAAATAGTAGCGTACTCTTTCTGCCTTTAAGAATAAACAGATTCTTAAAGACTGCAATTTTAATACATAATTCAGAACAAGACTCCAAAATTTGTACAGAAATTGTTTGGAAACATTGAGGAATCAAAATCACTACATTTGGGTTCCAGCTTTTGAAATCAGCTAGGATTTAATTTGCGCAGTTTTCTTTGCCAAATGTCTGTAAATCAGCCCGGCCCTCGTGTGCGCTGCCGTGTCTCCCGCTGCTGTCAGTGTCTGCTCTGCCGGGCTTCTCAGCCCTCGTCATGGCCGCGCCCCGGCCTCGGTGGCCCTGGGGAGCTTGTGAGCAGGTCCGGACAGACGCCTGTCCCCTGGGCCCGTCCCGGGCGGGAGCGCGTCTGTCTATACCCGCACACGTGGCAGCGCTTGTCACTTCCCGTCCCATCTGCCCTGGGGCCGGGGCAAGTCTCTGGGAGAGAAGGGGTGCATGCCTGTACCCCAGTCTTGTACAGCGCTGTTCGTGGTAGAGAGTCCCTTAAAATAGGTTCTCACTTCTGTCTCTTTCTTTCATTTCTAAATAAAGCCTGAGAATTTGCTTTTAGCTAGCAAATCCAAGGGAGCGGCTGTGAAACTGGCGGACTTTGGCCTGGCCATCGAAGTTCAAGGAGACCAGCAGGCATGGTTCGGTGAGTAGGTCTCGCCCTAACTGCCCAGCCACACCCTGCTTCCTGACCACAGAGAATGCGAATGTTGTTCAACCCCCGCTCGACCATCAGGAAGATGGGGGCCTATCAGCGCTTCACTGCACCTTAAATAACTTAAGGGAAGAAGCTATGTTAATAGGAGAGCAATAGCACACAGACTTTTCAAGGATGGTGAGAAGACGGCTGGGCACTGAGAACGACCGAGGCGACGGCCGAGGGCACGTGCGCGTTTGGCCAGTGAGAGCGGCTGTGCACAGGTAGTGCCACTAGCAGCCGCTGCGTGGAGTCGGTCTCGGGAAGCCCTGAGCATCTGATGGACCCAGTGACTGGTGAATGAGTGTAACAGTGTTATAAAGCATGGATACACGTAGATTTATAGTATGTGTTTCATCTTATGTATCTGTTCTGGAAAATACCAGTTTCCTCTCTAAAATTTTGATAATTGTGAGATTTCTGTTTCTAAACAAATTTAAAGGACAAGTGTTTCCAACCAGGCTTATGAACTACTTCAGTGTTCAGCTCGAAGAAGTTATTTTACCCCTGACTTTCTGCCAGTTCCCACTGCTAACCCACTCCCCACCCAACGCCCTGGAACCTCTCCCTAAGCCCCGTCTTTCTTTCATTCCAACTTTCATTGTTCTGAGATTAGGTATTTTTTAATGTCCTTCACTCCTAGCTTCTTTTCTCTGAACAACTGCAAGCAGTTGGAGACCCCAGGTGCTCCCTCTGTGTTTTTTGGGCAGATCCACTGTGCCCCTGACCAGGCATGTGTCCTGGCTGTCCCTGGGCAGGACATCAGTAGAGGGGTGTGCCCAGGGTGGCGGGTGCATGGGGTTACTCCCTCAGGTTTGTTTGGACCAGCTCACCTCAGCCTCCACTCCCACGCCCGGGCCAAGGGCAGTCCCCTTCCTGGGGTGGGGAGGTCAGGAGACTGAGGTCCTGCACCTGCTGCTCCTCAGCTGCCTGCCGCTGAGATGCCGTGTGGGCTGGGCCCGAGGGGCACATGTGCATGATGTGTGCCCCCCCTTCCCACACTGGACCCAGCCCCCACAGGGACAGGGCCGGCCACGGCCCTGCACAGATGGAGGGGGCGCTCTCTGCCCCTGCAGTCCCCTGAGGCCGGAGCAGTGGGCCAAACACCACACAGAAAGAGCCCCTACTTTGGTGTCCCCCATTCACGTGGCCTTGTCCCGCGGGTGCCGACTCACAGGCCTCTCTCCGCAGGGTTCGCGGGCACACCCGGCTACCTCTCTCCAGAGGTGCTGCGGAAGGACCCCTACGGGAAGCCGGTGGACATGTGGGCCTGCGGTGAGGACCCTCGGGGGGGCTGCGGGGGGCTGCAGGTCTCAGTGGTGCCATGGGGCGGGGGGCGGGGGTCCCCTGGCAGGCCTCACTTATGTTCCTTCCTGGCATTACCCAGCATTCCTGAAGTTGGGAGGCTGGCCCAGAGTGTTCGGCAGTGGGGAGGCAGAGGCTGTGCCCAGAGAAGCAGAGAGGAGACCATGCTGGGGGCCTGACTGCTGCCTCGGCTGTGCGGTTCTGACCCTGTGGCTGGTGGGGTGGGGTTGCTATGTCCCCCAAGGTGGCTGTCGCAGGACCTCTTCCCTGTCTGGGAACTCACCCTAAAGCAGGGGGGAGATGGAGGGGAAAGGGGTGAGACAAGGGCGCAGGCAGGGGCAGCCCTGGCTGCGTCTGGGAGCGCTGGGCCCCCTGCTGCACGGGGTGCTGCTGCCTTTGGTGTTGGCCACGGAGCCTGATTCAGACAGGAACTTCCCAGATTTGGTTTTACTGAAACATAAATAAGCCCTTTACTGCCACATCGTAGGGATGGATTGTCCCTCACTGTCTGTCATCTCTTTGGCAGCAGCGGCAATGTGGTGGTTGACTTTGACTGGGGAGCCTCTAGGCCTCTGGTCCTTCTACACCAGCGGAGCCGCTGGGAGAGCCGCATGAAGCCCTGTGTGTGGGAGGCACCTGCGCCAGCCCTGCCTGCCTCTGAGCGGGCTTCTCTCCCTGTGAGCGGGGGTGTGGTGCCCTCCTGGAATCCTGTGCACTTGAGATGAAGACACCCTGTAGCTGGCAGAGTCACTGAAACACGAGCAGCTATCCTAAACCGTCGGGGTGTTCCCTCTGTTAGCGTGTGAGATCTTAGGTGTTTCCCCAGCTTGTCTCCCTCCCCCTCCCTGAGGGTGACTCCTTAGCATGAACCCTGAACAGCCTTGGGGTCAGAGTGCTATCCCAAAATGTCCTTGTTCACCCCTAAATGCTAATGACGATAACTCAGATTTCTTTGCATAGTCAGCCGCCACTAGGTCTGTTTCCGCTGCTGAATATAACAGGCGGGCACTGAGAGATGGGTGCCGTGGAGAGCGGTTAGGGGGCTGGAGTGCTGCTCTAGAGCCTGGGTGCTGGGTGAGGGCCCATGGGTGCAGACCGGGCAGTGCCCGGGGACTGGAGATGGCCTGCAGTCTTTGCTGACCTCATCCAGGGCCATGAACTGCCTGCCCCTCCTTATGCCTCCCTTAGTTCCTGTTTTTTCCGGGGCCTGCTGGGTGGTGGGTGTGGGGCTTGGGGGGAGGCACCCAGCTGCCCAGCTCTGCAGCCGTGACCTGGCACACACGCAGTCTTGGGACTCGGCCACTCTGACAAAAACAGAGATACCTGTTTATCTCTGACAAAACAGAGATACCAGCAGCCCTTGCAGGCCGGTCACGTACAGGAACGTTCAAGGAGGCCAAAGAGCGTGTGGCCTGGAATGGCAGGCAGGTGCCGTCCTCAGGTGACCTGCTGGGCCCGGTCAGCAGCTCAGGCCTGACAGCTGGACGGTGTGACCCTGCTCGACTGCCACCACACACAAGTCTGTCCAGGGCACCCCCACAGCCCAGCCCCTCCCTCTGTGTGTCCTGTGGGTGTCCAGTGAGCTCACTGCCGGCGGGTGGCCTAACGTGCTGATGTGCCCATCCCTACAGGTGTCATTCTGTACATCCTGCTGGTGGGGTACCCCCCGTTCTGGGACGAAGACCAGCACAGGCTCTACCAGCAGATCAAGGCCGGCGCTTACGACGTATGTAACAGGGTTCAGAGAGCCACAGGAGCTCCCTGTGGTCTTCCTCTTGGAGGGGAGGAGAGGGGAGGGGAGGGGACAAGTCGGGAATTAGAAAGCGCGGTGTATCACCCTGCTCGTGTCCTCCTAGCCCACATCTGCGGGTGAAAGGAGGGCGGCTTGGGGTCTCTGAGGAAGGACTCGGCTTGTCAGAACGTTCAGATCTTTGTGCACTTGAACTCCTAGGAACCACAGCGCTTTGCTTTAGAAGCAGTTCCCACCTGTTTATTTTCATTATGTTCCCGGGGCCTGTCACGTGGCTGTAACCCGCGTGCCGGCAGACCTCCACGGGGACCCGTGTCTGGGGTGGGGCACTGCTCTGTGTGCCACGTCCGCTCCCATCTCATCCATCTCCTGGGCTCTGTGCGAGCTGTCCTTTGAAGGAGCGGCTTCACAGTTGAAGTTGTTTTTCAGTCCCAGAGCATTTTGTTTACAGTTAGCGTATTCGAAAGTAGGCGTATGTGTACACACACACGCGTATGTGAATTAACTTCCGAATCTGAAGAGTGAGGTCTCGCCCGTTCACTCCTCACTCTGCTTCACTCTGCTCCCCCAGACAGCCTCCCTCCCTGCTGAGTGTCTGCAGACGAGGGGCTCCCTCGGGCTCCCCCACAGCCCCCGGGGGCCAGTGTGCAGGGGCCGCAGCTGCTCCCCCCGTGCCAGTAAGTGGGGTGACCACGTAGCAGGTGATACAGGGTCCACGTGCTGTGCACAGATTAAAAGCTCCATGTAGAAGAGAGAGCACCGATGTAAAAAGTCTGAATTAGCCCCGACCGCTGTGGCTCAGTGGGTTGGGTGTCGTCCTGCAAAGCAGAAGGTCACAGGTGCAGTTCCCAGGGCACAGGCCTGGGTCGTGGGTGTGGTCCCATCGGGGCGTGTACGAGGGGCAGCTGATTGATGTTTCTCTCCCTCTTTCTCCCTCCCTTTCCCTTTCTCCAGAATAAATAAATATGTATTTTTAAAAGTCTGAATTATGTCTGTCAGGTCTCATGAACCCCCCAGTGCCTTCCGTTAAGGTGTTCTGGTGAGATGGAAGTTTGTGTCACGGGAAAAATGATTCTTTTCAAGCTGACGCATTCCATCTAGGCAGACTAACAATTGGACAGACATTTGGCTGGCCACAGCAGCACCTGCCCATCCCTGCAAACGAGGGCGAGGCCCCCGAGGTCAGGGTCAGGGTCAGGAAAGCTGGGCAGGGCCCTACACCCATTGCAGCCCCATCGTTCTGAATCCTTAGCAGGTTTTTGCAGCTGCCAAAAGTAAACGCAGAATTAAAGTGACAAGAGTGACAGTTGTTAAACGGGCAAAGTCTACAACTGTTGAAGAGTCTACTTTCTCCAGTTTCATTTTGTCAGTGGTTGCAAACTGCCCATTTTATACAAAAAGTAACAAGTCCGTGACACAGTTCCAACGGCTTTTCCCAGGACTTTCTTCAAAGCTTCACAGACTGGGGAAGAGCCCAGTTTCTGTTGTCTAGAAACTAATGAGACATGAGTGTTTCTGAAGTTTCACTGAGAGTATTTCCGCTAAGTGTGCTAATTAGGCGAGAGTGAGGTCGTGTGCTCATCAACAACGATGTCACTGAGAGGAACCTGGGGTAAGGAGCTTTGCTGTGAAGTCATTGCTGGGACCAGTTGCCCCTGTGGGAGCTGGTCCTTCCTGAACTCAGTGGCGGTGAACCCCCAGTGGCTGGGTCAGCCCGTGGGGAGCCGCACGGCCCGAGCCTCCGGGAGCCCTCGCGGGGCAGCATGGTGGCGCCCGCACAGGCCACAGCTGCCGCCTTAGTGATTTTTGCAAACGATCGTGAGAAGAAGTGTGTAAAGTTCCGCTTTCAGGACTGAAAGGTCTTTACGTTCATTTTTCTGAACTCCGAAAGCATTTACTACGTAGAACACGCACTTGGGGGTCTCTATCTGTCCCTGTCGGCCCCTCTCTGTGCAGGCGCAGCAGGCAGACGCATGCGGGGCCGAGGTTCCCATCTGTGTCGACACAGACCCAGTTCCGCTCACACAGGCGGTGCGCGCATGCGGGAACTCGGTGCTTAAGGAGATCTTTAGTGTGTATGGCTCTTCCTTGTTCAACTGAGGGAACCTGTTTTTTACACTCTTTACAAACTTCTGTTTTTAAAGTTTCCATCCCCAGAGTGGGACACAGTGACTCCTGAAGCCAAAGACCTCATCAACAAGATGCTGACCATCAACCCCGCCAAGCGCATCACGGCCTCCGAGGCGCTGAAGCACCCCTGGATCTGCGTGAGTGGCACCCGCGCGGGCACAGACTCGCCTTCCCATTCTTTTCATGGGTTTAAAATAGTTTTTGCAGAAAAAGTTGAAATATATGCGTGAATTTTGACTCAAGGTGCTAAACAAACTTAGTTGTATTACGGTGACAACACATTTGGGTAGCAGGACCCGGACCCACAGGTGGCCGAGTTGTGGCTGCCTGGTCTCAAAAGGAATGCAGGCTTGCCACCAGTCACCGGTGACAGTCACCGTGAAGGTGTAGAGATGACACCCAGATCCAGCACCACCTACCAGAAAACAATTACATAACGTTGATTGTATACAGTTAGGCGGCTTTAGGAAGAGATACAAGGTTTGGATGCTGGGACGAAGTTTTCCTCATGGGGAAGGCCGGTGGTCTGAGGCTGAGTGAACCCTGGATGTGCCCCGAAAGCCCCTGAACGTTGCGGGGAACGTGGGGACGGCAGTACTTTCTAGGAATGCGTGTGGGGAGTGAGGGGGGAGCCGACGCAGAGCAGCCCTGCAGAAATGTGGTCACAACGCGTGGGCGCGGAGGCGACTGGGAAGGGACGGACTCCCGCGAGCTGCGGGCTGCGGTGCTGGGCGGGCTGTGAGCTCTCTCCTCCTCCCGCAGCAACGCTCCACGGTGGCCTCCATGATGCACAGGCAGGAGACGGTGGACTGTCTGAAGAAGTTCAACGCCCGCAGGAAGCTCAAGGTGCGCGGGGACGTCGCTGGGAGGACCAGGGGTGGGGCGGGTGAGGAGCCGGCTCTGTCAGCAGAGACTTCCTCGTGTCCGGCCTGTGGGCTTGGCTCCTGGGTCTCCAGGAGTGAGGGGTGCACTGGAGGTCACCCCATGACGGGATGACTGGGGCCTGTGACTGGCAGCGGAGGAAGCAGCTGTGTCCCTCCCCTGAGCTGGGCGGGAGGCCGTGGCCCAGGACGGCACTCACCCAGCCTCTCATCCCCCAGGGCGCCATCCTGACCACGATGCTGGCCACGAGGAACTTTTCAGGTACGGGAGTTAAGGACCCTGATCCTCACTTTCCGGTTTCCTCTTTCTTCCTCTCTTTGGAATTGAGAAAAAAATAATAATTAGGAAAACAGTGGTGTGTTGTTTGGGGAATGCGGTGGGGTTGTGGCCTCCTCCCCAAGGTGCTGTGTGGAGGGGCGCCACGCAGGTGACCCTTAGGAGAAGGCCACCACTGAAGAACTCGGCTCCAAGTTCTCGGGGCCAAGTTCTCTGAAAGCACTCACATCCTGGCTGTAGGAGAGGGGCCCAGGCTCCCTTAGGGGAGCCGCCTGCGGCAGCACGTGGGCAGAGGGCAGCGCTGCGCTGTAAGCTGGGCCAGCTCAGTTCGTAACGCAAAGGTGAGCCAGCTCTTGACGGCAGAGCCACTCCCCCGACGGACACAAATGCCTGCTGTCTCCAGACACTGTTTCCATTCCAGGGCCCCCTTCTTCCACTGATCACTTCAGGGGACCCAGTTTCCAAGTCAGGTTTCAGTAACTGGTAATCGGCCTCCAGTCCGGGGGGCCCAGAGCAGCGAGAAAGCTGCTCTTGGTAAACCCTGTCAGGCCATCGACACCTGGGACGGCTGTCAAACGACTGCGCCAAACTGAGGCCCTGTTGCTCGCTTCCTGCTTACAGAAGGGTCCGTGGCATCTGACTACCCAGTAGTCTCGTACTCTGTCCCTGCTTCCTGTGGAGCCCAGAGCCACAGCAACCCTGGGGCGATGCTTTCCCCAAGCGCTGGGTGGCGGACAGTGTGAGCCGGGGAGGCTGCCAGAGGCGTCTCCTGGCTGGGGCGCAGCAGCTGGACGGTGGTTCGGCAGGTTGGGTTTGGTCCCCTCGCCACTGCCTTTGGCAAGTGACCTGTTCTCTGAACGGTTGACATTTACGGGGGTGAGTTCAGTTCATCTCATTAAATATTACCTAATATAGACTTTGTTCATATAAATTAATATTTCACTGTGGCCCAATAATTAGTGAATCACTCAAAATTGGGAAGACCGCACGGGGAACTGGGCAGGGACTGGGCTACGGCTCCCTTATGCGGCGATGCCACATTTCTGTGCCCAGGAAGTCGGCCGCCACGGCCAGCTGGGCAGGCGCACAGGCGGCCGCGCTCAGCGTGCGGGGGAGGCCCTGGGCCCGTGCTGGTTCGCTGACATGCGCTTCCTCTCGTTTTGCAGCGGCCAAGAGTTTGCTGAAGAAACCAGATGGCGTGAAGGTACGTGCAACACACGCTCCCAGGATCATTTCTAAGAATTTACACTGTTACCTGTGACCCCCAGGTCTTTGCAGAGCATTTTTGCAGTTCCCGCAGAGAATCAGTTGGGCTAAAACATAAAATAATTTCACACACAAAGATGGGTGGTATTTATGCCAAGAAAAGCTGTGGTTTTTTTGTTTTATTAATGTGAAACAGTCATGACAGACAATACTTTGACATGGAGTTGATACGGAAACTGAATGTCTAGCCCCCTCTGGTTTCCTACAGCCCCAAACTACCAGGGCCGCCTGGAAGCCTGTGGTGCCAGACCTTCCCGCACGCTGACGCTGCTGGGTCTGGAGATCAGGGTCCTGTCTCGGGGCCGTGCTGTCACCGTGCTTCTGTCCGAGGTGCCGAGGCACTTGTAGGGGAGTATTTGGAACCCCTTTTATAAACTTCCCAAGAGAGGAATAGGGCGTTTTCACTCTGTTGGATTTCTAAACAGGATAACGTAACTGATTTTCGGTTGCTTCCATTTCGTTTCATGGGACTTACCTTGGAATGTAGTCGTGTATTCCCATTGTTTATCTCTCCAGAGCGTTACCTGTATGTTTTCTTTAATGCCTTTCTTTCTCTTCCAATGGCAGATGCACACATGCCTCACGGGCACTTCGGCATTCTCAGGATTAGTTACTGTTCTAACGTTTGAACTTGACTAAAAGTCAGGTGCTCAGTTCACTTTGATGATGTGACGTAGGGAATGGTGGGTCCCTGTGTCCTTGCCCTCTCCTGTCCTCACCACCTGCCCGCGTGACCGGATTTGCAGGGCGGCAGCCGCACCCTGCACTTCCCGTTGCCAGTCGTCCCCATTCTGCTGGGGCCCCCGTTTAAATTTCAGCATCGTGGGGGTGTCTGCTTGTTCCCAGTTAACGTGGTGGGAATGCGAGGTCTCAGCCTTCCCTGGAGGCGGCGTTCCCCGCGCTGCCCTGTGCCGTTTGGACGCGGTGCCCACAGTCCTGCTGGGCATCGATCGGCACCAGTCCCCTCAGGCGGAGGCGCAGTGCCCCGAGCGGCACTGTCCTGAGCGCCGCACCTCGGCACCGGAAAGCTCAGCCGGCCCTGCTCCTCCCTTCCCTCCTCTGGCTGGTGAGGTCAGAAAGGGGTCCAGCCTGCGTGTTCAGGTGGGAGGGGGTCTGCCTACCGGCTCTCCCCAGGGAGAGGCTGCACCCAGGAGCCAGTCACACGGGACAGTGCAGGCCTCTTGAAGCACAGTGTCCCCATCGCTGTGTGCATGGGAGTGTGGGTGTGTGCGTGTGCTCCTGTGCATGTTGGCGTGCACAGGTGCGTGTGGAGCACGCGCTGAAATAGAGCAGTTCTTGGCACCCACACCCTAGGAGAAAACCATTCTCTTGTCTCAACAAGTAAAAACAGAATCGTTTGTGTCCACTGACATGATGGATGAGTGCGTGTCTTCACGGTGCATGTGCACAGTGCCCTGTGACCCCAGGGAAGGCCACCCCTCTGACGGTCAGGCTGAGCGCACCTCCTGGGTGGGAGGTGACGGTCGCACCCCTCAGACGTCCTCTTCGGTGGGCTGCGCGTTCTCTTGTTCTGGCTGCTGCACGAGTTTTGGGTTCAAGTCTGCACACTCTTACTTAAAGAAGAGTTCCAAACGAACTGTCTGCCAAAGACAGAGGGCTGTTTAAAGAGCTTTCCGGTACGGCGCCCTGAGGACTTCTGCTTTCTCCTGCGTGTCCCAGTGCGCAGTGTGACCGTGCCATCGAGGCACAGAGGTGGAGGGACAGGAAAGCCAGATGCTGTGGGCCCGCGTCGGCTGCCGAGCCTCCCACCTCTCTCAGTGCCGGTTTCGGTGTGACCCGGGTTCGAGACAGAGGGAAGAGTTCCCAGGGGCCCAGCATTCCTTGGGATGGTTGCTTAGACTCTTTGGTGCTCATTTTTTAATGTGTGCATTGTTCTCTGTGAGTCCTCATGCACATTCATACTCCAGTGTGGGTGTGTTCCTTCAGACAGTGCTGATATGTGAAGAAAATGCCCAGAGACTTCGTGCAAGACGAGTGTGGGTGTCTGTTTCTGTTTGACAGCCGTGCATAAGTCGCCACGCGTGAGGTGGGGTGGGTGTGGGCTGCTGCCGTTGGCCTGCGGCTCTGTTCACACAGACCCAGTTGTGTGGTCAAGGGGCCACTGCGTGCAGAGTCTCCTCGGGCGCGAGGCCTACTCCCCAGCCCCGGCGTTTGCCCAGTGGGGCTTCCACAGGGACAGCGGTCTCTTCCATGAGGTTGGACCAGTGACGTTAGAGCAGGGCTGGCATTCCTAGGCGTGGTCTTCGGTGACGGCAGCAGACCCGTGACAGGAAACCTGGTGGAAAGCGGTTGTTTACCACCAGAATACGGCAATGAGCTCAGTTTGCCTATTTATGTTTGATGATGTATTTTTAAAGGAGACCCAGACATACCATTTTTGAACAAATTTATAAAGCCTGCGTGTCATCGGAAGTCCTAAACTTCTAATTGGATGCCCGTTAAACAAAGGGACGAGGGCCCCCCGAGAGCCGGTCAGTGGGGATCTGAGCCCCCAGGACACAGTGGAAGCAGAGGTGGGCCCCTCGAGGCCTGCAGGTGCAATCGGCGGCAGCACCCCCTGGAGGGTGGGCAGCAGGGCCGCCTCGGGCACCGCTGCAGCCACTCTGCTGCCGGACGGCGCCGTGTGTCTTACGTTCTTTGCAGTGTTCTTTATTTTCATGTCGATGTCTCCAGTAGACATACTGCATGTAGAGTTTGCCACCAGGGCTTTAAGGCATCTCTCTCTATTTTCTGCGCACCCACAGATAAACAACAAAGCCAACGTGGTAACTAGCCCCAAAGAAGACGCCCCCCCCCCGGCGCTGGTACAGCCGGACTCTGTGACCCTCGCGCTTCGCTGTCCTTTGCTTCTCTCGTGTGCTCGTCATGTCATACGCACTTTCTTTTGGGTTTTGTTTTGTTTTGCTTTGTTTTGCTTTCTAAGACGTGACGAGACCATCTTTTCCTTGGTTTTGTGGAGGCAATATTCCAGTCGTATGTCTCTGACGTGAGGTGCCCAGCCTCGTTGCTGAGCACCGCTGCAGCTGGGCTCCCCGCCACTGGCCTTTGCATGTGCCTGGGACGTGTTGCGAATGCGCTTTGGTGGCTCTTGGCTCTCCTGACGCAGGGGGCGCAGGGCCAGCCACTGAGCTGGAAGCACAGACCTTATTCAGAGCCCCCGCCTCCTTGCTGACAGTCGCCGGCTTTGTAAGCCTCACCGTGAGACTCGGAGGGCCTCTGGCCCATTCGGGTCTCTTGTGGGCCGTCTCCCAAATCAGATGGTCACTGTTTCACGTTACCCCAGAGGATGAGACCCTGCGGCACAGAGCATCAGTCCCCCGGGCACCAGATAGGGCGTTTCTCTGGAGTTCACACTGGCAGCAACCACGCCAGCTCACCGTCTCGAAGCACACTGCTGAGTGTGAGGTGTGACAGCTGGAACTCGGTGCCCTGAGTCTCACACTATTTTCTCCAGAATGTTCTATGTTTGGATTTAGGATTTCCAGAAATGTTTCTGGCTTTTTACTGTCTTGTGTACTGATATCATAAATGAATCCAAGGGCTCAGGGATTATTTCACTTCAGTGACACAGCAGGGCTCATTTAACACATCAGCAGGACAGATGGATACGTCAGGATGGCAGGCCATCTCCTGGTCACAGTGCAGATCACAGGTTGAGCAGAGAGGGGAGGAGGGGCCAGCAGGTGGTCAGAGGGTCCCCACAGCCTCCCCAGGAAGGGCCTGTGTCTGCCACCAATGCTCAGGCTGCTGTGGCCTCCTGCTGATGAGGCATCGTGTGACAAGAGTCAGCGTGTCATCCAGGGAAGGGAATGAAGGCTTTTTTATGTCACTTATTTGACATAAATACTTGGGAGTATTTCTTAAATTTTCTGGTAGAAAAAATAGGAAAAATAATTCTTTATGGAAAAACATGGCTTTACAAACAAATCTCCTAAGTGTACAGTACGTAAGTAAAAGTCTTTCTGATACGAGTTGACACAGGACTTCACAGCAAACTGCTGTGACCCCATGATGACTTGTAGAACCTTTAAATGAACCTCTTAAATGTTTGTTAGGATCTCTCACGGACTTTCAGAATATATTCTTTAGGACCGTCCTTTTTTAGGTCAATGGTTCTACATTTTCCAAGGGTGTGTATCTGTGTGTCAGTTATAGTGAGACACCATAATTAATTCTGAGGACACTGCAGCTGAAAAATATCTCCAGGGAATCTGAATCCCTTCAGAGTGTTCCCATCCCTCATGCCCTTGGCCGTGGGCACGGGCCCCTCGCCGAGGAGCAGGTCGCGCCCAGTGCGGGGCAGTGAAACAGTGGCGCCTCTGCAGGTCCGCAGACTTCAAAGCCGGTCTGTGTGCTGACGGAATAAGGTCTGTCTCTGCATGCTGCTCCCGGGCTCTGGGGCCCCTCGGCTCCCAGAGACTGTCGCTCGAGGCCTGTCCCCTGTGGCCTCTGCCGCGGGCACCACAGCTTCCGCTCTGTCCCTGTCAGTCCTGGGGGCTGCTCTCCCTGCCCCGCCACAGCAGTCAGAATCTACTCACCGTGCCAACTGTCTCTTTCTCTATTTTGTTCTCACTCAGGAGCCCCAAACCACTGTAATCCACAACCCTGACGGAAACAAGGTATGCGGAGGGCGCAGCCTCGCGCTCTCACCAGGACGCACGGCTCCCCCGTAGCCAGAGCCCAGTGCGTGACCCAGACACGGCAGAAGCCCACCCTCGGTCTAGCAGCTTTCCCCGTGGGCCTGATTCACCCAGACTGTGCCCACCTTTCTTTTAAATCAAAAAGAATGATGACTTGAGAGAGAAGCGAAGCGCACTGTTAGTAAGAGCTGGGGAGACGACCTCTTCGCGTCGCGGCCACCTTCTCGGGAGCTAGGCCCCCAGCCCCGCTGTCCCCACGCCCGCCTCTCCCCATGTCCCGCGTGTGTACACACGGGACACTTAACGAGTTTCTGCCGTGCCTCCCACTGGCTTCCAAACACCAGCCTGAGTTCCTAGGTATCTGTTTATTCTGTTCTGATGTTCTTTTCTTCGAATCCGCTGGCGGCGGTGGTGTTTGTGTGGTTCGGCGTGCGTTTGCAGGCAGTATGGCGGTCTCACTCACTGCGCGTGAGCTGTGCTGTGTTGGACGCTGTGCCTCCAGCAGCTGACACCGAGCTGGCTGTGTGGGGAGAAGCCCGGCAGCCCCGAGCGCTGCGGGCCGTCGGGGCGGCCTCCTCGCTGCGTAGCGACCCGAGTGCGCCCAGCCGCAGGGGAGAGGAGACGCTCGTGACCGTGTGCCCTGTGTCCGCTTCACGTTCTCGCACGTTACCGCATTTCTGCGGGGGTGGGGTGTGTCTTCGGACTTCCACACGCGAGGCCCTCGATGCTTCTCCTTCTGTGTCATCAGCAACGCTTCAGTCGGGAGACGCACGTGTGCTGTGACATCTCGTGGTCAATGTTAAAATCACCGAAGTGAAAGACACAGAGCATCGGTTACCCTTTGTCAGGAGACACGTTGGTGTTTAGAGCCGTGGCGTGTGGGGTGCTCCAAGTCAGCGACTTCCCACCCTTCCCGTCTCGTGGCACATGTCAGATAAGCACTAAAATTCTGCCACATGCCAAAAAAAGTTTTTGCCAATCTGGCCAAAACAATAGGTGTGATTTTTGATTCATTCACACTAGATGGTTACTGCCGTGTTGGCTGTTGTCATTTTTCATTTTTGACAATCTAAAGGAAAAGAGGTTGGGTACTGCATGTTTTCCAAATTCTTGTGCACACCGGTTGGAAATCACTGGTCTAGGTCCCCAAAGACTTGAGCTAGTGAGGAGACGCCCCCAGGAGCACACCTTGTCCCGTGTGTTAGCTGGGGGCCCAGGCGCACGGCTGGGGACCCGCGGGGCCGCGGGCCTTCCCGTGGGAGCTGCCACGCGAGGCGCCTGCTGGCGTGAACCGGTCTGCCCGTAAGTGCCTGTCCCTTCTTTCAAGTTGGAGTGTGAGCTCTAGGCCACATGAAATGCATGAAGACTGGTTTTGTGTGGATGGAGACTCTGGACACATGTCCCATTTGTCTCTTCCTTTGGGTTAAATACTCTACGTGATAGTGACAAATTGATGGCCGTTCTAAATGGTGAGTCTCTGAAAGGGCACCGACTGGCATTTGCACCATTTTGCAAAGTCTGTTCTTTGTCATTGATTGGAAGGTTGTTTCCAATTTTTTTGTCTCTAGCCTTCAATCATTCAAAGTAGAAAATTGTGTCTTATGAATGTTAACAGAATTTCATTGCTAGAAAATACATTATTAACAGAAAAATTCATGGGACCCTTTTTCAGGAGTGTGTCTCGGTGCTGCTGGTCACAGTGTCCTTTAAGGCGTGCGTCCTGACTTTGCGGTAGTTGTCCAAGGGGCCCCCGTGTCTTCCCACTAAGGGAACGGGTTTCTAATCAGTAACAGCCCGTTCTGATTCAGAAATGGATGAAACCCTAATTGTCCTGAAAGTAAACGACTCCTTAAAATCTCACTGTGCTAATCACAGACGCGGATGCTTCCGGAAGTGCGTCCTGTGTCTCAGCACCTGGCGTCCCCGGGGGCGGCACTGGGACAGGCCCCCTCTCTCTGCAAGGAGCAGGGCAGCGGGCAGGCTGCGGAGAGCCGGGGAGCTGCCTCGCAGAGGAGGAGCCGGTCACTGATCAGAGAGAGAACAAGAAGTCACACTCTCTGAAGGTTCTGATTAACTTGGCCAATCGAGTCGGCTTCTCCTGAATGCAGACGGAGCACCGCCTGCGGGCACTGTCACCAGCACACCCGGGGGCAGCTCTCCGAAGGAGGCGCCCCGCAGGCCACCGGCTCTGCGCTGCTTCAGAGCCAGGCAGCCAGAGCCCGCCCCACCCCACCCCGTGTCTGCGGCACGTGGCCCTCCTCTCTGTCCCAGCCACGGGGGCTGTGTCCCTTTGCATGTTGTTGCGCACACGGCCTGCTGAGGAGCTCTGCATGATGTGGACGTCACGCGCCAGATTTGCAAGAACAGAAAGAGCCAAGCTGCTCCTGGTTCGCCACTGAAAGTGTGTCTTCTTTTCGGCAGGAGTCCACGGAGAGCTCCAACACCACGATCGAGGACGAGGACGTGAAAGGTAGGCGAGGCCACAGGCTCCCACGCGTGTCGGAGAAGCAGGCTTGTGCCCGACCGCTCACACTGAGGGGCCAGCCTGCCCCGCGACACCGCCGACTTCCTTCTTATTGCTGCTGTGCTGGTGCTTTGACCGTGCGTGTGGGTTTCGTGGGGGTCTCACATGCTGTTCTTTCTGTGTTCAGTGTACAGACAGGAGAGGGGACAGTCCAGCACACTGTGTCTCGAAACCAGCAGTGGCAGTTCGGACGCAATACCAGACGGTCCCTGCGTCTGTGGACTGTGCGCATTCCTAACACTTCTCTCGCAGGGTGGGGTCTGGCGGCCTGTCCCGGGCTGCCTGGCGGGTGTCGCGGGACCGGCCCTGGGCAGCGTCTTCCTCATGTGCTTTCCCGACGTGTCCTCGGCCCCACTGGGTGCAGAAGCCCAGCTCCTTAGCTGTGTGGGTAGGTGTCCCTGCCGCACGCCCCACAGAAAGCGTGCCCTCAGCACCCTGCTCTCTAGTCATGGCTGCCTTAGAGAGGTTCACTTGCGCCCTCCAGTTTGGCTTTTGTTCCCAGTTTATGATTCACTGAAGTAACTACAGTTTTGCAGGCCGCTTGTCTCCGAGCCGGTCCAAGCACAGTGACCGCAGGGATGTTTAGAGCAGAAATAGGAAAAGAAAAGTGTAAAACAGACAGAGAACTGACTGCAGTTCTCTGCAGTCCAGTTAGTGAGGCTTCCCCAGAGAGCTGGTTTGCCTGGCAGCGTAGCTGTGGGCTGTGACTCTGGGGGGGCATCAGTGAGGTCGTGCTGCAGAGCAAGGACCCTGGAGGCATCAGGACAGGGAGACAGGGAGGCCCCCTAGGAAGCACAGAGGGCCGTGGACCCCTGCCCGTCACCCGGATGCCGGAGGTGGCCAGCTCTCCTCCAGTTGCCTAGGACAGCGAGGTTCACTGCCCATGGTGAAGCCAGCGTGCGATCCGACTGCTAGAGGAGGCTGGTGCTGCTGCCAGTGCCAGGTGCCTGGCCAGCGTGTGCTGAGCGGGTCTGCACCTCGTCCAGCGCCCAAAGGCCTGGAGGTGGCTTCCTGGTCACAGCAACCATCCCTCTGTCCGTGAGAGGACGAGAAGCAACTGTGCCTTCAGGGGAGACTCAGAAAGCGCCGCCTGTAGCCCTTTCGGCAGACGTCACCTCATCTTTTACACCTTTCCCTGAGCAAGAGTTAGAGAGAAGTAGCTCCACATAATCTCCTGGAGAAGCTGAGTCTGCAGAGAACTGAGCGCCGTCCGTGCTGCAACGCACGGCCCCACCTTGTGTGCCCCCCGTGCCCCAGCAGTTCCGGCGGGCTCTGCGCGGCCCCACCTGCCTCGGACCCCCGTGAGCCTCAGTGCAGGGCTGCCCCCAGGATGGGAGTGGCGGGGGGTGGGCAGCGTCCCCGCCTTACAGCTGATGGTTTGGACAGTTCGGGTGGAAGGGAGTTTGTTGCATTCTCAGGAAGCAGTGGTCCAGTCGCAGCCCAGGCGGCACCGTCCCGCCTGGGGCCCCACGGGTGGGCACTGTCCTCACCCTCGTGGCTGCGCTGCAGCTGCACCCAGCAGTGTGAGGGACCCTGAGCACAGCGCTGAGAACACGCAACGTTCGGTCCCATCCGTTGGTCTGGCTGCAATGGTCCTGCCGCCAGGTCTCTGACTGTTCAGGGTCCGTGATCAGACGCGTCTCTGACGAGCAAGTCCACCGTGTTGGGCACGCTCTAGTTCCTTCCACATTCCTGGGCCCCTCCACATGCCCCGTGCCCCCCCCCGTCCGCACCTGCCCCGTCAGCAGCCTGACCCCACCCCACGTCCCCCCATCTCTCCCAGGGTCAGGTGGCCCACGTCGGCCAGACGGCCTGGAGCCTGCTCACGAGGCGAGGTGGTCGTCAGGCTGGCCCTGTCGGGCTCGTGGCCTGCGCTCGTGGTGGCCAAAACCACAGGTGGCTCTCGGCCTCCGTGGTTGGGCCTTGCCCCAGCCTCCCCCTCGCCCGTGGGAGCAAAGTGAAAAGTGGTGTGAAAGGTTTAATTTCCTTTTATTTTGAGGGCTTATTGAACAGGTCACTTCTACATAAGTGAGCTTCACAAGAATCTCCCGAAACCATTGAGTAGAGATTTGGCAATGTCCAGGTCTGGTATTTAGATACAGTATTATAGATTATTAAACCAGTCAGCTCCAGAATCTTCGACGGGTTTGATTTTAAAAGCCAAAATAATGAAAATTACTCTCTGAAATGTTAACTGATTCGTCTACTCAGTGAAATAAGAGTCGTCAGTGAGAAACACGCTGTTCACTGCCCCAGGAACTCCCAGCGCAGCCAGGCTGGCGGGCCCCCATTTCTGTCCCGCTGCCAGAAGCGTGAAGATGACTCTGGTCCGTGTATTTACCTAAGACCCTAACCGTCCCGGAGTCGTTTTTGTTCACGGAGAGACTGGAGCACCACAGGACACCACTTCCGTGACATTGGTGTGACAGTTAGTTACAGACAGGGCCCAGCAATGAAGTCGTCAGTCACCTTGTACGGTGGCTCGTTACGTTTATGATTTCAGAGTATTGGGCGCCGTGGGCTGGAAAGGACGTGGTTTGGTGGACGAACGGCCGGCAGCCCTGGCTGGCACCTGAGTGCGCCGGGTGACCGGGCCAGTCTCTGCACCTCTGTCCCCCCCGTCTCTGGCCGCCAGGTCCCTGAAAACGCTGAGAAAGGCAGAAGTTAAATGAACTGGAACTCCAGATTTACACCCAAAAGGCTCATCAGCCATTTCAGGTGGTGTTTGTTACGCAGCTTGTGGTCACTGAGTAAGTACCTCCGTAGGCAGAGGAGCTCGGTGTGCGACACTGCGCACGTCTCGTGACGACCGGTCTGGCCCGGCCCACGTGCGGCCAGTCCCATCACAGACCCGCTGGACTCCTGAGCAGGCTCCTTGGCTAGTGGCCCCGCCTCAGCTCACCTGCAAGTCCCGAGGCTGAACTGGGCCCTCAGGCAGCTGGGGTCTGCCCTGCACAGGGCTCTGTTGAAAAGAAGTCAGTTCGCGCACAGACTCACGCACCTGGCTCATCTCACCCAAACCTGTGCCAGCCTCTCACTGGGCACCTGCAGCACAGTGGCCTCGCACCCCAGGGCCCTTCTGCTGCTCCCAAGACGTGTAAGAGCCACAGGGCTTTCAGGAATCGGGGACACACCCAGACCACCAAACCTGGTCGCCCTCCCTGTGTCTTTGGCATTTAGCAGATGTTTCCCAGGGCACACCCCATCCTAGGTGCTGAAGGCACGAAATGGTCCAGTCCTGGTTAGATACATGAGCATCCTGCTGTTAAACAGGAACCTGTGAGGCCAGAAGTCACCCTGAAGGCCAAGGCCCACTAGCCACATGCCACTGGAGAAGGGCAGGTCCTGGGGCTGGCCAGCACTTTCGTGCAGCAGGTTCAGGGCAGAGATGCAGGGCGTGGAGGGGCTTGCCCAGTAGCAGACGACAGAGGGGGGGTCAGCGAGGCGGGAGGTCCCGGGACGGGCAACTGAGCCTGACAGGAAGGGGCTTTGGTGGCCGGTGGGCGACCACCTGGGTGTCCCCGTGTACACAGGGCACGGCGGTGTCTCCAGATCACCAAGAACAGCCGCCGGCAGGGCAACTCCGAGTTTCCGCACAGGTTTGAGTGCACGGGCCCTCAGCTGCCGGGCCTCCCGTGGGGCACGTCAGGGCTGTTCCTGCGACACGGGGGCCACGGTGACATCGGGCGCTGCATCTGGAGCTCTCGGGTGGCCCGGGGGCAGAGCTGGAAGGGCTGTCCTCAGGAGACGGGCTCCAAACAGGAGCAGCGAGAGGCAGGCAGAGGTGCATCAGGGACCGGACAGGCAGCAGGACGCGCCGGGGGCTGGGAGTTGTGGGCACAGATGACAGGAGGGTCAGAAACGGTCCGAAGAGGGGGAGGGTGTGTGCGAGACGCATGGTCGCGTGCGGGGGGGACGGGCGGGGGGGCGGCGGCAGGCTTCCCCGGGCCAACCCGAGTGGTCCCGGGGTCCAAGGTGCGCGGCGCTTGATTTGGGGCTCCCTGGGCCCTAATGACGGGCAGCTGGGCAGGCTCTGGCTTCCTTTGGAAACGTGACCTTGAAGCCCAAGCCAGCGACAGATGGGGCGGATCTAGAGGGGCACCTGCGGTTGCCGGGGCCGCACAGGAAATGGTGAGAGACTGAGCAGCACCCTGCAGACCTCTCCGTGACCGTGAGCACCGGAGAAAGTCGCAGGCAGCGTGGAGAAGGTGCGGGGAGTGAAGGGAACTCAGAGTTCAGAGCCAGCAAACTGCTCAAATCGTGGTTCTGATAGAAAAGTTACTTCAGGAAGAGAAACGTTAAGCCAATTCAAAAGTGTTTTCTCTCATCGTCAGTGAACGAGACAGGCTGTTTGTAGGTGCGGTGTCCACGTGTCAGGAGAGAGTTCTGCACGGCAGTCTGACCACCAACCTACTGCAGTGGCCTGTGGCAAAGGCCACAGAGTTGGGTGTCGGGGACCGTCGGGTGCTTCCCGAACGTCCTCTGTGTGCCAGGGTCTCAGCCGGCGCCGGCTCCTGTGCTTCGACCCCGCTCTGCGGGTTACAGAGCCGTGGAGAAAGCTGGCTGCCCCCACACACAGACGAGCGTGCGGTACATTTGTGCCGAGGGCGTTCGAACCTCGGGTACAGGGGTGTGCATTCCCAGCACAGGGACTTCTCCCAGCAGGAGGGTCAGGGGACATAGTGGGAGGAGCGATAGCTGATAAAAGAAAGGGAGGCTGCACTGGGGGGCGGGGGGCAGCGGGACGGCAGGGCCTCCCTCCCCCATCTGACTCTGGGCTGCGCTCGTGCCAGAGGATGGGGGAGGAGGGACAGGGACTAGTGTGCCCAACACAGAAAGGCAGGGTCCCCAGGACTTGAGAGACTGGCGAGGCAGCCCCAGGTGGCGCTGGGCTCTGTCCGGCTGGGCTGCCAGACGGGGGCATTGCCCTTGTGCGGGCCGGAGACCGTTGCAGGGGAAGGGACCCTGAATCTGCAGAGCACTCGGGAGGCAGCAACCTGCGGCCTGCTGTTCACGCTTTCCTTCTCATTAGCTTTAACGATCGGTGCTGTGTCCTAAGCTGGAGATTTTCTCTTGCCATAGCAACGTAAAGCATCTATTCAACTTAAACGGGGTCGAATGTGAGGGGTCAAATGTGAGGGGCAGTTTCGGGTGTCTCCACAGCATCCTGTGTGTCCTGGGTCTGGGCCAGTTGTCACTCTAGAGGCCCCACGGGAGGGTCTTTGACCGCCTCATCTGGTCAAGGCAGAGTGTGCCGGCAGCCCCTGGTCATAGACGGTCCCTGGGGGCTGCGCATGTGGCCATCACACCAGCAGTGAGCAAGGGGGTGGCCGAGAAACCTGTCTCTGGTGTCCCCCACTCTAACCCACGTGACGCTTTTTGTACATTGTCGACCTTCTTATGGATGTCGTAATGGCACATGATTGTTTCCTGTAATGTCGGGGAAGTCCCATTAGGTTTACAGACTCTATTTTAACCAAGGGGTGCCCTGCCCTGGGTGACCTTGAAAGTGATGTGAACATTTCAGTCCGAGGAGAGTAATCGGCTTAATGAAGGTCAGATGCACGAAAAGTGCGAGCTGGGTGTCTTTAACCAACAATGAAGGAACCAGACTTGAGCTCCTCTGGAAAGACGGGGCGACCCGCCCTGCGGACCCTCAGGTCACCACCGGCGATTTGAGAAAGTGTCCCAGGGTTCTCGAGACAAAATTCAGTGACCTGTGACTTGAAAAGTATTTCACCCATCAATTTCATTAATAAGAGAACAGTACTTGGGAATCAAGGAAAGGTCATCAGCATCAGCTGATGAAGTTGGCGGTTGTTTGGCCCTCCCTCTGTTGAACAGGCCGACAGAACTGTGTGAGCGCACAAAGCAGTAACACATTTCTTGCCCGCCAGGAGCTCTGACTCCAGGCAGGCAGGAGGACGGGCTGCACATGGAGCACAGTTTGCCGACAGTTAAGGCAGGTGATCACCTGGCTGAATGAAGCAGCGGCCCTGGGCTGCAGCCCTTGTAGCTGCCGAGTGGGTGGCACGCAGGGCCAGCGAGTGGCAGTGCACTCGGATAGGAGGTCCCCCACGGGGGGGCTCTGAGGTGTGGGCCGGCACAGGGCCCAGCCAGGCACCTGTTGGCTGCACGAACGGTTCTCGGAGGCCACTGAGCTGCACTGCGGCGGCACAGGGTGGGTGTCCTGGTGGGGCTGGTGGAGACAAGCAGGGAGGAGCGCAAGCACTTAGACTCACCAAGTTAGTGCTGCGGGGCGTGTGCACTGACTAATCAGAGAGCCTGGGCCTGCGGGCGGCTGGCCTCCAGCAGGCAGTGCCTCCGTGGGCCTCTCGGGGGGGGCACTGCCCTGGGGTCCCCGGGGGGCCCTGGGTGGTGCGAGTCCCACAGGCTCAAGAAGGGCCGGCCGGGTGGGCCTGGCTGCTGTGAGCGCCAGGGGGTGGAGGGACAGCCGCCCGCTCCCACGGGGGCCGGTCGAGATGGGCACCCGTGTCGGGGGAACGTCGTCGCCCGACACTGCCCTTGGCCATGTCCTCTGCTCACACCAACTCTGTGCCTTTGCCTTCAGCCCGGAAGCAAGAGATCATCAAAGTCACGGAGCAGCTGATCGAAGCCATCAACAACGGAGACTTCGAAGCGTACACGTGAGTGCGCACCCGTGACTGTGCTCTGCGCACCCGGCGCTGCCTTCTCTGGTGCACTGGGTTCGTGTGTGATTGACATGCTGGCAGTGGCTTTGTTTCAGGATATAAAGGACGTAAGTGGCCCTGGAGGAAAATACATGCGTCCGAGATTTCAAGGAGCCGGGGCCTTCGAGTGGGACAGGGGTTTGTTCTCTGTGCACAGAAGTGTGACCACCACACCCCTGTACAGACACAGGGCAGGAAGCACTGAGAGGGGATGATGCAGTGACTCAGGGGCGTCCTCGCCGGGCCACACGGCGCAGCTGTCCGTCAGCTCCAGCTCCAGTCCACATGTCTGCAGTCCAGGGGCAGGCAGAGTCGGGCCCAGCCCCCCTGCGCCCTCCCCGGCCGCCCTGGAGTAGAGACCGGGGATGCAGGAGGTGGGGCTGGCCTCCGAGCTTCAGAGCAGGTGGGCAGTGGCAGCGAGAAGCCAGGGGGGCGAGGCTGCCTGCAGAACGGAGCCTGGGGGAGAGCGCAGGACACTCAGGAGCTCGCGTCTGTGCGGAGGCCTGGAGGGGGCGGCGGGGCAAGGAGCACGGTCACCGGGGCCCTGGGCTTTCGCCCGCTAACTCCACTGACCGAAATGCAGCGTGGCCGTGAGCTTTGCATCTAAGCCACGGACGGGGTGAGCGGAGGCGTGCACTGAAGCAGCGCTCCTGTCAGGGGGACTCGGAAACACCGTCTGCCTTACGGTCACTGTGAGGGAGGAAGAGGAAGGACAGACGCTGCCTTGGGGAGAACAAAGGGGGTTTTACCTTCTGCCTTCCAAGTTTCACGAAGGTATTACCTCCACCAGCAGCTACAAACGGCCGCGGACAAAGCCTGGGCGAGAGGAACGGGGTGCAGCCAAGCCCACTGCCGCGTCAGTTCCGGGACAGGTCCAGGGCCCGGGCGCGAGGCTGGCACGACCGTGAGGCTGCAAGGTGCTCCTGGTCACGTTGCTGGTGTGGCTTTGTTACACCCAGGCCACTCTCCAGACGCAAAGACAGTGTTTCCTTTTAAACCTCCTTTTTCAACAGTGTCCCCATGGAGTGGCACAAGCGTGTTTCGTTGGTGGTGGTGACCGGGCAGAACGCGTGTCCCGTGTGGTCACACGGCACAGAGTGGAGTGTTTGAAATGATGCAGTTCCTTGGGACGCCCTTCGGTCACTGATTCCCCAGCCTGGGGTCTGGCTTGACCTGGTGCAGTCGGCCCCGGGAGCCCCCGGGGTGGGGGCTGGAGCAGCTCTGTGGCCGCCTGGTCCCGAAACCCCTGCTCAGAGCACAGGCACCCACAGGCCGTGTGTGTCCTTGGGAGCCACTGCTCCCAGTGGGGAGCCGGTCACAGGATGGACCTGCGTGTGCGAGGAAGAGCCGATGCGTAGGTTTTCAAATGCACTGCCCCCTGGTGCTCGGGCAGAAAGCTGCATCCTAGCCCGCGACGGTAAAATGTCGCTGCACCGAGGTCGACAGCCAGCACTGCATTTGCAGAGGAAAGCGCCAGCAGCACCAGCTCCCGTCACCACAGGGTCACTGTTTCCCCAGTTTGCCCCTTAGAAAGAAGTTGTGTGTGTTTGACCTTGAACTTAAAAATAGCTGCCCCCTCCCACCCCCACCTCCCCTTTGAGGCTTTCTTTACCACACTGAGTAACCACTGTGATTTTTTATTTTAAAAGTATGTTCTACTTTTAAAGTGTTTTACAAAAACCTCAGTCCCATATTCTGTGAGGCCGTGAATTAGCTTTTTAAAAACTGTGTCTGTTGAACAGTTGAAAAGTTTTCCCTCCCAAGCAGGGAATTTCCCCATGAAATTTAGAGGCAGACCCGGCAGATTAAAACCCTCCCGTCCGTCCTCCTCCGTCCGCCCTGTGCACTTCTCACTCTCCCGGCCCAGGAGTCGCTCGCGCTCTGAGGAGCTGCCCCGTGTCTTCGGGCCGCCGCGCGCACCCCCTTCCTTCCCGGGCCCTCCCGCCCCTCGTGTAAGTCTCCTGGCCGCAGGCACACTGCGTAGTTCCAGTGCAGGACGAACTGTTGTTACAGCTGTTTGTTCACAGACTGTTTGCCCTAAAGCAGGTGTTTAACGAGCCTTTGTTGAATGAATGGGTACAAAGGAAACCCATTGGCTTTCTCTGAAGACTTAATGTGGCGAATTTCTTTGTTTAATCCTATTTTCAGGATTATGTGCATTTGAACTGTTCGTTAATTTTATTTTTAAAGTGAGATAAACTTTGTCCACATGGTAATTGAGTTTATGGATGTCGCCAGGAACCTGCTTTCTGATCAGTTGTAACGCAGATGTGTGTCTTGGATGTAGAAGGTGTCAAAAATCACTCCCAAAGTGTTTAATTTCAGAGCCAGAAGTTGGCTTTACAGGGTTTGGAGAGGGACCGGGACTTGGACAGTGTCTAAACAATAATAAACCTCAGCTGAGAGCAGGAAACCCGGGGAGGGCCCAGAGAGCCGGCCGTGGCCATGACAGCAGCGCGGGGTCTGGAAAGTGCTGCTTTGGGGCCCGTCCTCAGCCCATCTCGCCACGGCCCGTGGCAGAAACTGTGTGTTTCTCGTGGATGTTAGAGCCGTTTCCCTCACGGAAGGTCAGGTCAGAGTGGGTGCGTGCGAAGCAGCAAACCACAGTCACTCTCTTATCGATCACGTTTGTTTTTTCCCACAGGAAAATCTGTGACCCGGGTCTTACAGCTTTTGAACCTGAGGCTTTGGGCAATTTAGTGGAAGGAATGGACTTTCATCGATTCTACTTTGAAAATGGTATATTTACTCTAAATTTAATAACATGCCTTTTCTAAGCTCCCTTTGAATTTCTCCCCAGTTTGCTTATTCTTTGGCTCTTCTGTGCAGTGAGGGCTTTCAGTGTTCGAAACAGGAAGCGGTTGGCAGGGTCGGTGTGTCTCGAAACAGTGCCCGATTCTGCACGAGAGTCGTGTCGGTCGGACGCACCTGAGCAGTCGCGATGTGGCATGAGCCGCCGAGGCGCCGCCCCGGGGCACGCCGTCCTGAACCTCCCTCCGCTCTCTCCCCAGCTCTGTCCAAGGGCAGCAAGCCGGTGCACACCATCATCTTGAACCCCCACGTGCACCTGGTGGGCGAGGACGCCGCGTGCATCGCCTACGTGCGGCTCACCCAGTACCTGGACGGCGGCGGCCTGCCCAGGACCATGCAGTCCGAGGAGACCCGCGTGTGGCACCGCCGGGATGGCAAGTGGCAGAACGTGCACTTCCACCGCTCGGGGTCGCCGACGGTGCCCACCAAGTAGGTGTCCCCGCGGCCCCTGCTCGCAGCGTGGCGCACGCGCTCGGTCGTCCTGGTGGCAGCAGACACTCATCAGAGTGGCCTGTGGTTCTCTGGGCAGGTCCCCCGCCCGCCCCTTGTGGGCCGAGGCCCCTCGAGAGCAGTGAGTGGTTCTAGACGGGAGCTCGGGTTGAACTGGAGGGTCCGGGGCGGAGGGCAGGCTGTCCCTTCACTGTCGCACTCCGGGTGGGAGGGGAGAAGGCGGGGAATTTCTAAAATGGTCGGCGCGGTGCCAGGAGTCCCCGGTCCCAGGGGACCCACCGGCCTCAGTCCCGATGTCGGCAGGGACGTGTCGAGTGCAGCATGGCAAGTGCAGGGTCAGAGCGGGGTTGTCCCTGCAGTGGTCCCTCAGGCACGTAGGCCACACGAGCTGCTGACCGTGGCCGCAGGCAGGGTGCCGGCCCTTCCGCTCCAGAGAGCACCTCAGCCCCCGAACCGGGGGAGTGTGTACACCGCTCACAGTCAGCCTCGGGGTGGAGCCCAGTGTGGGCACCGTGGACCCCAGAGCCGCTCCTAAATGATGAGACAGAAGGACGCGGGGGGACAGGCCGGGCTCGGGAGGGCGCAGCGTCGAGTGTAGTGGTGGCAGGGGTCCTCGGGCCACAGTTCACAAGGAACAGGAGGCTGATTCTCTCAGGGCGGGTGTGGCGGCCCCTGCCGCTCTCAGCCCTGGTTCCCTCACCAGCTTCACCCCTTGACATCTGGGGTGCGGGGCAGCGAGGGTCACACAGTGGCCCTTCGGCTCCCTCCAGAGAGCTGTCCAGGTCTCCCAGCTCCGTGACCACAGTGGTCTCTAAAGCCTTCTCTGTAGCCTCAACGACCCACGTAGACTAAGAGCTGGACCTGTGGCAAGTGCGTCCCCAGTTAAAAACAAGAGGTTGAAATTTAGCCTAAAAGCAGCAGCTGAGCCAGGGAGAGAAAGGCAGACGGAGCAGGGTCCTGAAGACCCCGCTGGGTGCTGGCCGCCCCGGGAGGTGCAGGACAGGTGGCCCGTTGGTGCGGCCGGGCGGCGGGCCACTGCGCGCAGCCTCTGGACCGCAGCGGCTGAGCAGGGCTCTCCCCCCCCCCAGTGTCCCCAGTGGCAAAGGCCACCCGCCAGCAAGCCCCTCTTTGTGGCAGAGCCTCGAAGGCATGAAACCATTTCTCTGTGGTCCTGCCCCTAGCGCCTTGGGGTCGGAGGGGTGGCCACAGCGCTGGGTGCCGTTCTCTCCCTTCGCAGTCACCGGAAACCAGAACGGGTCTTCGAGTCCCAGCCCCTTTGCGTGAGCCCCGGGCTGGCGCGGTGCCGGCTTCCGGCCGCGGCACTCAGCCCGCACGGGCACTCCGGGGGCAGCCACCAAGCTGTGCGGGCAGCGCTGGCCATCCAGGCCTCGCTGGGGCTGGGCTCCCTGCGTCCTGCCATTCCCCACACGCGCTGGCCGAGGCTGACGTGTCCCTTCGTCTGCCTGAAACTTCAGGCCCACCGAGCGGGCGGCTGCAGAGGAGAGTTGAGAGGTGGCTGTGGTTAACCGCGTGCCTGTGCCGTCGCTGGTGTGTCTCTTCTTCAGACGGGAGGCTCACGTCCGTGGTTCTGTCGTGAGCTGTCCCCGTCAGAGCTCTGCGGGGCCCGGGTGCGGGGCCAGGAGTGCTGACAAAAGCCAGGGCTGAGCTTCCACTGTGTCCGAGTGACCATGTTCATTGTGAACTTGCTGAATCCGCCGGCTTCCACGTGTGGTTGAGTTTATAGCAACACTGCGTCTGCAGCCTGGCACGGTGCGGACGCGAGGACGGGTCACCCGTGCCGGCTCCCTGTCTCCCGGTGGCGGTCACCGGCTGAGGGCGCTCTCACCCGCCGTTGCACCGACTTGCGAGGCCGCAGCCTGGGCCCGGGTGTGGCCGTTCTAACTGGTGTCTTCGCCCCTTTGTCCGCAGCTAAGTGTCCGCAGCGCCCCGTCGGCACCATGTCTCCAGGCCCCTGGACGGGACCGGGCCACCCCTGCCTGCCCGAGGGCGTGAAGGCCGGACCTGGTGCCTGTGGGACGCGCGCCTCTCCTCGCCGTCACCCTCCCGTCCGCGTTCGCCCTCGCCACGGGCCGTGCAGACCCTCCCACCTGCTCGTCGCGCTGTCGATGCCAAGACGGGACAGACTCCCACGGCTGTTCTCGTGAGGACGGCTTGTAAGAAAAATGTAAATTTTTAAAAACTCTTCGCTACTGATCTGTGTTGGCTTGTTTAACGAAAGGGCAACGGCACGTCCTGTCCCCGGGCGGCCCTGGCTGAGGGGCGTTTGACCTGCACACACTTGTGCTGGTGGGCGGGGCGGCGGCCCCCACTGTCACGTCCTTCTGGTCAAACCGCAGACGGAAGCTCCGGTCACGTCCGAGTCGAGTCGCCGTCTGCACTGGGGGCTTGTGGGACTGGGTTCTGTGTTTCTCGAGTCTTCTGTTCTCTTGTTTTACCCTCTGACCTCCCCCCCGTTCTCGTCTCTGCCTTTCTCTTGTCTGGTAGTGAGGGAGAAGGGCGCGGTTTGCGTAACGAAGGTAAAGATAAGGGCTCAGGCCGGTGGTCAGTGGCCTGCAGTTCGGCCCCCAGCAGCTCTGCTGGGACGATGAAGGTTGGGGCTCCAGCTGGCACACGGAGGCCCGCAGTGGGGACCGGCGGTGGGCGGGGCCCTGTCCCGGGACCAGGTTTGTGCCGCAGGCCCCGCGGGCAGGGCGCCCCCCACGGCTGCCGCTCTGAAGTCAGCGAGGCCGCACGCGTTTCCATTCTCTTCCGTGGTTTGCACTCAGCTGTTGCGACCTGTGCTCTGCAGCATCTTTTTGTCAGAGCAGCGTCACGTCCCTGCGTGGAGTTAGGCTTCTCCAGTTTGCACGGATGGCGGCGCGTGCGGGGCTCCGATCTCACCCCTCACCGCCTGGGGTCTGCACGCCACACGGGCCCCCGTGCGCTCCCTCCGTGACGTGCCCCCGCCTGTGCCTGCAGCAGAGACGACGCCCGCGCGGCCCTCCCCCCGCTTGCCCTCCTGTGTTCACGGCGCCTCACTTAGGAATCGTTGCTAGTGGGTGTGTGGTAGACGGACTGACGCTTTTCTGGTAATTACTACATGATTTAAAACAATATATATTTAAACTGAACATATACAGTAAATGTATTGAGCCATGTTAACCTGCCAATGAAATCTGTGAAGTAACAGCCTCCGTTTTCCTTGTTGATTTCTCTCACTTTTCTGTGAAATGGCTGCACGTGGCTGCGTGTGTTCCACGGTGGACACCGTGGTCGTCTGACACTCTGAACTGAGCACGTCGTGTTGGGGGGCCGCCCCTTCCCAGCGGGACCCACGTCCGTCCCCTTCTGTCATGTGAAACACTGCAGTTCACCATGGGACACTGTACATACTTCTTGCCATAATGGTAAACGACTGATTATTTAAGAGTTAATAAATTTGTGATTTCCGCTGGCAGTGCGTCGTCTCCTCTCTCAGGAGTGTTTATGGCCGAGGGCACCGCGCCCCCACGGCCCACGTCCTGCCCTGGTCTCCTTAGGTCGCAGCCTCACCTGGGACGTCCAGCTGCGCTGTCCTGTCGGCTTGTCCGCGGTGGCGGCACAGTTGAATTTACTGGACAACTTACAAAAGCCGTGAAGTTAAAGACGCCCCTCCTCCGTCCTGCTCGGTGCCGCCGGGTCGGCAGGTGCGCTCACCTGACAGGCGTCTGCCTGCCGCGCTCGGCTCCTTCAGGGCCCGAACCCACGCCCGTCTCTGCCTGTCCCGTCCTCTGCAACCCGGGCCCCGCCCGACCCCGCCCGAGCTCCCCCAGCCACGTCCTCGCGGTGCCGCTGCCCAGGAGCACAGGGCGGCTGTGCTGCAAACGGGGCCCAGGACTGTCGCCGGGCCTGACGTTGAGTGAGTCCCCTCTCCCGCGGAGTCTGTTTCCGTGGGTGCGCGAGGAGAGAAGCGTCGGGACAAGGACACCCTGAGGGTCGGAGGCCTGGGTACCGGACACCGGCCGCCCTTGTAGGCCAGTTCTGAGCGGTCACTGCTGTGACCGTCACTGAGACCAAAGCTCCCTCCAGGGGACGGTGGCACAGCTTTGCTGTGAGCTGCCCTCTGTGCAGGGTCCCCATACTATTGGGGACAGACCTAGTTATGTGTGTTAGTGGGAAGGAGAGACACAGCCAGGCAGTCCTCTCGCGCAACCAGCAGAGTCCAGGAAATTTTTCAAGGAAACTTAGAAATAAAAGAATTACATATAATAAAAAGGCAAACCCTAAGAAGCACAAACTTTAAATAATTTCATTCAATAAACTTCTGCAACTTCTAGGACCATTTCCCCATCTTCAGGGTCTACTTTGTCAGGGAAAGTAAGAACAGTGAAAAGATTGTGACAAACGTCAACATGCGGGACCCTGTGGGCTCAGTGCAGGACTCCGAGCCACAGGGCGACAAGTGCTCCTGTCCCCATGCCTGTCGGGCCTCAGGCCCCCCTGCTCGCGCCGGGCTGGGGACGTGCGCGTCCAAGGCCCCCGCCTCCCGACAGCAGGAGCCGGCGCGTCCAACCTGGCCTGAGCGTTTTCCCTGAAATTCCACCAACATTTAAAAATTGGATATTTCACATAAAAGTCAGGATTTCTGGCTTAATTCATTTGAAGAATGGTAAGGTTCTGCCACACTGGTCCTGTGTTCCCATAGCAACAGTGAGGACAGCCGAGCCCTGAGTGCACGGCCCTCGCGTGTGCTGCTGGCTCGGGACACTGGTGCAGGGACCCCTCTGCTGGCCCTTTGGCCAGAACGGCCGGACTCCAGGGGGTCCAGACCCTTTGTGACTTCCTCCTGTTATTTTTGATCTCTTGGGTGGATGAGTCAGGGTTTGCTAGAGAAGTTGCACCAGGGGGATGTGTGCCCGCAGAGATTCATTACAATGACTCAGCTCCTATGTTTACGGAGGCTGACAAGTCCCAGGGCCCACGGTCCCCAGACTGGAGGCCCAGGAAAGCCACAGTTTCGGTCCAGGTCTGAAGGCAGAAGAGACCAACTGGTGCCTCAGCTCAAAGAGGCCCGGCGGGCAGAGTCCCTCTTGCCAGGGCAGGGGCAGCTTGTTCCGTTTGGGCTCCCAGGGGGTCGGACGAGGCCCACCAGCGTCAGCGAGGGCACTCAGCCCAACGCCTCCTCAAACGTGAGGTTTGTGCACAAACAGCCTCCCGCACGCCCAGAACGAGGCTTGCGCCCTGCCCAGCATCTGGGGCCCGGCCCAGCGCACACGCAGGAACGTGAGAAAGAAGAAAGGCCCCGCCCGTGTTCAGGAAGGCCGGAGCGGTGAGCAGCCCGCTGACCGCGGCCAGTCTAACCGCCGACCTCACCCTCCGAATGCGCGGGAGACCCGCCAGCTGTAAAACCGGAACCGAAAAGGATGAAATCAGACACCGAGAGCACGGATTCTCAAAAACGTAGTCTCAAGACACTTCACCCCTAAAACAATGGGCAAACTCATAAAGGCATTCTGTCTGGGGGTGCTAGTCACTGACATGGACCGTATTCAGAATGAAGACCAAGGTCTTAGAGCATGATAATGTACCAGCATGCCATCCCCACCTGTGTGCGACATCTGTCGTTGTAAGCCGTCCATTAAGTCAGACCCAACAGAACTGCCGATACCCACTCCGACCTGCAAAACAGCTGTTTCATGGGTGCAACCAAGCATTCGTCCACCGGGGAAGTCGCTGTGCCCGGCTAGAGGGCCTTCGAGTTCGGGGAGACTGGGAGGGGGTGTAGGTTCGGCTACGAAATGTCCCTTCGAGGCAGCTCCCATTCCCACAGTGTCGTTATGTCTCTGAAAAGTCTGAGTTCCACAGTGAGACTTTCCCAGGGAATGATGACAGTGGGGGTTCGAAAGACGTTTCTCTGCATGTAATCCAAAACCAGTCTTTTTTACCATCCACACAATCAAGAAACAGCAAGACCTGTGGTTACTGAAAATAAAGGCCTCCCAGGCAACCACCTCACACAACACAGAAATAATCCGGTGGGGGCAGAGCGGCCGCTTGGAAACAGTGACTCACCGGTTTGGATTGGGTTCTGGGAACCGGGGCCTGCGAGGCGAGGGGGGTGCCACAGAGACCCCCTGAGGACAGAGGTGACAGCCAGCTGGCGAGCACATGGCGCCACGGGCCCAGAGCAAACACACACCAGCGGACAGAACTCGAAACGCTGCCCCAGCACAGACTCCCTGCACTTTCTGGCTCATTTCCGTGGCCTCCGTGAGCAGAGGCCACTCAGCTCTCTGGTCCCGAACCCAGAGCAGATGCTGGGAGGCAGGGGAGTCTCGGCCGGGGGCCAGGAGCTTGGCCAGGCCTGCCCTGAGCGTCCCGTGCTGCTGACCCTGCACGGCTGGGTGCCGCCCCAGCCCCTGGTCCCGCCTGCTGCGTTCTAGGAGACCCAGTCTCTGGGCTCCAGGCTCAGTTAATCAGCGCGGCCGCACGGAGAGGTCCCCTGAACCACTGAGGGAAGAAGCTTCCAAACCAGGGAGGGAGGGTGGACGTACCCCGTGTGCACCAGGGCAGAGTGGGTCCCTCTGACACAGGACACAGTGTGACAGTGTCACCACGGAGCAAAGCCAGCCGGAGGCTCCCACCCAGTTCGCCGCCCAGGGCGGTGGTTGAGTGGCGGAGGGAACGACCAGAATTTTTACTTTCACACAAAAAAACAGTTTAGGGTTAGTCTCGGTCGTTAATGAGATGCACACGTGTAGGGCATGCAGGCCGTGAGTTACCACGTTTATCTCGCAATTCAGGTGGGACCGTTTTCCCCTGGACAGGTGCCACCTGAACGGACCCTCGTCTCTGCACAGACGACCTTTTGTTTTGGGTTGGCCAAAAAGTCCTTTTAGTTTTTTCTCTAGAATAAAAGACACATTTTCATTTTCATCAATAACTTTGTTGCTTTGGATATTTTGAATATGTCAGCTATCTCTTAGGTGGTAGAACATTGATTGTTCTCAATTAATGTCTTGATTGGGTGGCTACCAACTTCATTCACCTGGTCCACCCGACCGTGGGGCATGGTCCAGCGAGAAATCTCCAGCATAAAACTTCACAGACCACTTTAGACACGTTTGATCAGTCACAGCACCTTCTCTACACACTGCACAAATCTTTTTTTGCATTTCAGTTGTGTTTTTACCTGTCTTGGAGTAATAAAGCATAATATGCAAAAATTGTTGCATATTTTCTTCCATCCTCAATATTAAAATTGCTACGCAAAAATCCACCAGTTTGGATGAATTTTTAACACGCACTGATATGACAGCTGTCACAATTTAATCTAACACAAAAGTGTCAAATGAAATTAAAGACTAAGCGCTACTAGAGCCATCGGTTGGGGAGACCGGATGAACTTTTTGGCCAACCCAATCTTATTAAAATAATTGTTTCAAAATCAAGTAGTTAAATTTATTATTTCATCAAATATCAGTTTACCTTTTGTGTGAATCAAACAACTCTATAAAATAAAACACTCAGATCTGTTTGCATAAACATGGCCATTTCAGCTCAAACCTGAGATTCCTTCACAGTGTTTTGCTCTTTAGAACCAGTTACCCAGTTTCACCACCGTCCCAACCCCCAGCACAGCCTGTAAACGCATTTCTCGGGCTCTCCAGGCTGAGGATCTGGGCTCAGAGCGCCGCCTGGTGGACAGGAGCTGCCCTCAGCACCCCAGCACCTCCCAAGACCCACCTGCCAGGCCGCCCCTTGAGACTGGGTTTCGGCACAGCTGGGGCCGCAGGCTCACAGTCCACAGCAGCAGGTGTCGGTCACAAACACGACAGTCTCTGTTCACTACTCTGGGACTCAGCCTACCTGTAAGTGACCAGCCCCCGGCTGGGCATCTCCCCTCTCCCCTGAGTCACCCTGTGAGACATCCCACCCAGGTCTCCACTGTGGCTGCAAACAAGTGAACTACAACTACAGCTTGGCTCAGAGGGTCCTGTGGCCGTGCAGAACCAGTGCTGGAGGGTAGGGCTGGGGGGCACGTTGGGAGCCCCAGTCCAGACTCCTCGCGGGTCCTTAGCCCAGCCCGACACCCCAGCAGGACACGCCATGTCAGCTGTGGTGCTTCGCCTGCCCCACAGGGGCCGTTCTGATACGTGTCAACTCCCTTCGAGGCCACAGGAGGCCACAGGCCTGCGGAGCAGACTGTCACACGGCCTCTCCCAACCTCCGACCTCTTGTTTCACAGAAAAAAAACCCTCCTGTTCTTGCCAACTGTGTCTCTGTGCTCCCCGAGTCCTCCATGCTGAACCTGCCTCTCACCAGTCATGGGGTCCCACACATCAGCACAGTTCTGACACCCTCTCCCAGGCATAGCTCAGCCGATGCCCACGGCAAGGCCAGGGGTCTGTCGCCTCTGACTCTGCCCAAGCCTGCTCAGACCCAACAAGCTCACCAGAGTGGCTCACAGAGCCCAGA